TATTATTATAATCTCTTTTAGAAATATAAAGATTAATATTTTTATAATTAATATTATTTAATATAATATAAATATCAGGTATTTTGTTAATTTATTTATTATAATAAAAAGATAATTATATATTACTTTTATTATTGAATTCTTAGATTTTGATAATAGATTTATAAAGTTCTATAATATTGATTTCTATAATATAAATAATATTTCGATGATATTCATTTGATTATAAAGAGTATGATAAAAAGTTTTATTTCTAATATAGATATTATACTTGATGATTATTTTATTGATTATATTGTAGAATCCTAAACTTTAATATTACTTTTTGATTCTTAGATATATTCTTTATATTCTTTAATATTTATAAATTAACAATATATATTATTCTGTAATATATTTAGAAATGATATTATTTGATAATTATATTTTGTTTTCTATTCAAAATAATCCTTTAACAATTATTAATAATTTTGATTATTTGATACCTTTTTTTATTTTGTTATATTTTTATAAATTTATCTTTTTAAATCTTTATTAGTTTATTTTCTATAATAATAATTTTTGTTAGATTAAAGATAAGATCTTTATTTGATAAAGATTTCAAAATCATTATTTCCTGATAGATTTTATTGTTTTTGTAATTTAATAATTTGTTTAAAATATCTATTTTTGTATTATCTTTTTTTTTGATATATTTGATTATTAAATCAAACTTTATTAATTTCTTAATTTATCTAATCAATTTATAATTATTCAAAATTTTAATAATAATAAAGATTCGAAGATTTATATAATTAATATAAATGATTATTAGGAATTTAGTTTTTTAAACATAAATCCTTCAATATTTCAATGTTTTTATAATAATCATAAATTCTTTTTTATAAATATTATAATTTTATTTTGTTTTATTTATTTTATTTGAATAATAAATGATAAAATATAATTTCTTATTATTGTCTTTTTGTAGATGGATTTCTATTATATAAATATCAAAAATATCTATTTCGATGATATTTTTTTAGTTATTATAATAATTATAAAAGATAGGTTTCTTTATAAATCTATTTTTGATTTCTTAGAAAGTCTATTTTGTTTTTTTATTTTATATAAAAGTTATTTCTTTTTTGATTATTTTGATAAAAGGTTTTATTATTTTCAAAAAATCTTTTATAAATATTCGATAGAAATTGATGAATTCTAATATAAATTATATATTCTTGATATTCTTAAATCTTTCTTAATTTTTTACTTTCTTTGTTTTCTTAGAATCTATATTTATTTATTCTGATTAAATAATATATCTTAGAAATGTTACCTTTTGTATTCCAAATTCATATTTCGATAGTTTGAGTTTTAAATCCATTTTTTTAAATACTTCGAATACTTTCAATATATATTTTTTATATTCTTTCTTTTTCTAAAAAAAGATTAAGATATCATTTAGATAATAGATTATAAATGAATTAAACTTTTTGAATATCTTATTGTTTTATTATTAATATATAATTAATATATTGATTAATTCAAATAATATAATTATATATTCTTATAAATCTAATAATAAAATAAAGATTATCTTTTATTCATAATCCTTTTTTATCTATATCAAATTGAAAATATTTCTTTAATTTAATTTCATATAAATTATAACTTTATTCAATTTATCTTTAAATTCCTAGATTTTTAATATTGAGTATATATTTCTAATTATTCTATTATTAATTTAATAATAATTTTTACAAAATCAATTATTTAAATCGTTTTTTTTAAATACTAATAATATATTAGATACATAAAGAGATTTAGATTTCCTAATCTATTTTTTCTTTTCAATCTTGATTTTGTATTCTTTTTATATCTATATAATATTAAGATTATATAACCTCAACTTTTCAATAGAAAATACAAATCCCTTTTTGAAATTGATTTTATAATTCTAAAACTTATATTTTAATAAAACTTTTAAATCTTAAAGATCCTTGAAAAGTTTGATGAATCTTTTATATTATATTAGAATTTCTTTTTTATTGATTCTATCAATCAATAAAAGATCTATTATTATTATAATATAATATCCGATCTTTTAAAAAATCTATTCTTTTAGATTATATAATCATTTGTTATTACAATTATAATGATTGAATATTAAAATATCTTTTACCTAATCGATATTTAGATTATATTTCTTAATTTATAAAATATTGAAGATAATTATATATCTATTTAATAATATTAAATTTATTTTAATCTGTTTGATATATTTGTCTAATATAATCATTTTGATAATATTGATTTCTTTATATATTCAATTATCAATTCCAGTTTTCTTTTCTTTTAATAATATCAATTAATAAAAATCTTATTTTAATTCTATAAGAATTCTATTTTCTTTTACAAAATTAGAATCTATAAATATATTTATAATTTCGAAATCAATCAAAATATTAATCTATTGATTTTTTAATTTGATTTCTATAATTAATTATTTGATTTCTATAATATCATTTAATTCTAACAATAATAATTCAATGATTTGTTTTCCAATAAAAAGATTTAGTTATTTATATTAGTATTTATTTATACTTAATAATCAATAAAATATAATAAACAATAATTTTATTGATTTTATTTAAAAATTTCGATAATAATCTTGATTTGATATTTCTTTATTATCCTTATTGATTTTTCGTTAAATATAACGAATCTTGATTTATAATAAAATCTTTTATATATTTTTAATTTTTAAATTATATTCGTTATATTTCTATACTTTATTAAAAAATGAAAAATCTATATTTATAATATATCTTTTAATATTGTTTATTTTAATATTTTCTTTAAATACTATACAATAAATATTATTATATATTATTATATAAAATACTAATAAAATAAAATAATTATAAATTCTATATTTTTCAATAAAATCAGATTTCTTCTCTTTATAATAACATTATATCTGTTTTTTATTTAAATAATTGATTAAATATTATAATTTATTTTCTTAAAACAAATAATAAGATTCAATTAATTATTAATCCTTTTTAAATTCCTTGATTAATTTCTTATCTTTTGATTCAAGATTTTCTAAAAATTCTTCTTTATAATCGATATTGTTTTTAATATTAGTTTTAAGGTTTTGATTATTGATATTCAATTCTTTTAATTATTCAAAATTAAATTGAAATAGATTTCTTTTCAATAATCTCATTTTTTTCAAACTTCCTTTCAAAATCTTTATTTCTCAAGAATTTTGTTTTTTATTCTTAAATCTTATTTGTTTTTTGTTTTTTATAATGAATAATTTCTTTTTTTAAAAATAATCTTAGAATATATATTTGTTTTTTTTATAAATAAAATATAAATTATTCTTTTTATATCTTTTTTTTTTGTTAATATTTAGATTTTTTAGTTTTATATAATATTGTTCAATATTATTCAATTTTATTAGATCGTTAGTATTATAATATTTATTCTAATGATAAAGTTTTTAAAACTTTTTATTTTTTTAAATAATTTCTTTCTTCTTTATTTGTTATTTATAAAATCGATTATCAATAAAAATGAAGATTTCAATTAATTTAAAAAGATTAAATGATTTCAAAACTTTTATTAGTTCATTTTTAATAATATCTTTTAATCCTTTATAAAATTATAATTTTAGATAATTATTATTTCAAATAATATATTCAATATATTATTAAAACTTGATAATATAAATTATAATTGATTCAATTTATCTAAATTATTATAATATTTTTTTAATTATATAATTGGGATTTATTTCTTTAAATATTCTATCAAATCCTTATTTGAACAATTTATAATTAAGAAATAAATAATAAGTTTCAAATTTTATATTTTCATTCAATTGATTATTGATAATCTTAATTATTAGATTATTGAAGAATAATTCAATTTAATTGAATATAATTCTTTGAAAAAAAAAGATCAATTATAAAATCCTTTATATAGAAATCAAAAAAAAAATTTTATTAAAAATATAATAAAGATTAATTTGTATAATAAAAACTTAATACTTATTATAATCTTTATAAAATAAATCAAAAATAAATATCTGAATTATTTATTTGTATTTTATAATAATAATAATTTAAACAAAGACTTTGATTGAATTGAATAAAAATAATTCGATAAATTATTAATTGAAAATTATTATATTATATATAATTTAATTATAATAATATTCAAAATATAACAATCTAATTGAGATAATAATTATCTTAAGTTTTTATATAATTAATAATTATAAATTAAAATTAATAATCATTAATTATCTATTTGAAAATAAATATATTATTAAATCAATTGGAATATAAATAAATTAATTAATAATTAAATTGAATATAAAGCTTCTAAATTATAAAACTATTCTAATTATATATTAATTCATTTTGAGAATTTTCAGAAGTTTATATTCTTAAAGGTTTTAAGAAGTTTATAAAAATTTATATTTCTAAAGATTTTATTATATAATTAAAATTAGATTATATATCTAAATTTGTTAAAAATAGAAAGATTATACAAAACAATTGTTATACAAATTTGTATACAAATTGCTTTGCTTTTCAACAAGGTCAAAGCTTATAGAGACAGATTGACTATTACCTTGTGACATTCTATAAAATGATTTCGTGACAAAAACCTCAAGAAGCCGCTGCCTCGACCAGATTGTTACATTGAGTTGAATGATTTCAGTAGAGTTGAGTTGAAAAAAACTCCAAGTCAGATTTGTCTAAGGTTGTAAGGCTTATGCCAAGCTTTTTGTTCGATTATTTACCGGGGTATTTACCAGGGTATTTACCGGGGTATTTTAGACCAACCAGATTGTCAGGATCGCGATTCACTTAAGTGAGTTTCTCATTTTCTATTACTCATCAGACAAACCTTATATACAATAAGATTATAATATCGATAAGCTGACAATTATATAATAATGATTTTTTATTTGTATTTTAAAATATAAAAGATTAAATTTGATATCTAATTAAAACAATTTTTTTTTTTTTACTTTCTTCTTTTCTATTAATATATATATCATAAGGCTACTCATTTATTATCATGATGAATATTCATGTATGCTCATTCATGGATATGTAAAAACGAACAAACAAACTATCACTGCATGTCCAGTACTTTCCCTCCATCACTTCATCTCACTAGCCCTCAACATATCAAAAGACTCTCCACTTTCACTACCTTCCTCATCCTTAAATCCTCCAACAACACCCTCAACCAAAACACCTCCCTTTCTAAGCTTCTTTCTCCTAACTTCCACTTCCTCAAGCGTCAATTTAGGTCCTTCACCCATTATAAATCTCCTATGCCATTCTCCCACAAACATTCCTTCTGGATCTGCATTATTTCTTATCCTTCTCCATTCCTTCAAATTATCTCCATACATTTCCTCAATATCTGATCCTGTTGTTTCGAAATTCTTAGCCCAATGAGGTTTCCCACCTAATTCTCGCATCAAGTATTCAAACCCTTGATAATATCTCTCGTGACATGGTGGATCCATATCATAAGGACGATAAAGCGTTGCGTTCAAGTAAAGAGTTGCTTCTTCTGTACAAGTAGGATCGAGATGTGGACGAGGAGTAGTACTATTGCTTGTTTCCGTGACGCGAACTTCAACTGGTGCATGAACATAAAGACCATCTGCTGAAAATGGAATACCATGCTCAACATAATCTGGATCCTCCGGACTAAGATGATTGAGCCAAGAACTTAATCTTTTGATAGCCTCTGGACCTTTGGAAATTGGAATTGCCCATTCGTTAACGAATTGAGAGTAAAGACAATTCATGAGAAGTGCTTGACGAGATGGTTGAATAGCAGAACTCTTTGAACCATTAGGAAAACCATATTGCATACCAAAAACAAACCATTCCACCCATGGAAGGATACGTGGAATGCAATGTCCAAGAGCAAGAAGATTATGATAAACGTGATATCCTAACCAAGCATCATAATAAGATTTTGCAGGAGCAACAGGAGCCAAATCGGTCTTTTCAGCCGTCCAAACAACTGCTCTTCTTGTATAAGGAAACCACCAAACTCGAACGAATTCCGTTTGCGTCCAAAGTGTCTTTTCCCAATTATTCATCATTCGAATATCGGTATCGACGGTTTGTTCCCATGAGAGAGTGAAAGCTGGGACTGCTTGAAAAGTAATTTCTGTAATGATACCAATTGCTCCAAGAGAAATGAGAGAAGCGCGAAAGAGTTCTTCATTTTCATTTGGTGAACAAGTTTCCGTTTTACCATTCGAAAGAGTCATCTTCAACTCCAAAATCGAACTTGATAAGATGCCATGTCGTAAGGTACTTCCATGAGTACCAGTTGAAATCGCGCCAGCAATCGATTGATGATTGATACTACCCAAATTTGGCATTGCCAAACCCAGAGCATCAAGTTGTTCACCCACGGAGTACAATCGTATACCACTTTGCATAACCACCACTCCCGTTTCCCGATCCGCAGATAGGATTTTATTGAAATTGTCCAGGTTAATGAGCCAACTCGATGTGCAAGTAATATTTGAAGGAGAATGACCACATCCTACAGTTGTAATTCTTCTCCTACACTTTCGCGCAAGATTGACCACCTTTTCTACTTCATCGATGGATTCGGGTTGAATGAATAATTCGGGAGATGAATGAAATGTTCTCGCCCATGTTGATTGTGTATGATTTGTTTTTGCTCGGAATGGAACATCATCGCCATATCTTTCTAATTCGAATCTGACTGCGGGGTCCATCTTTGCGCCTGGACTTATTTTCCTTTGGACGTGTAAGTAGGCGGGTTGTTATTTTAATGGTAGAAAGTTGATAAAACTTACTATTTAACTTGGACGAATAATTATCGTACAGCATTCATCTGGGAATGAAACCAGAATGAAGTGAAGTGAATGAAAACCAATAAATTCGCCCTTCGCTTGGAACGAAAGGAACATTTCATCACATATTTTGACACTTTTTATTATTAGGCGGGGAATCAATGAGAGGACAAGGGTAAAAAGATGCAATCCAATCTAGATCTTTTTAAAAGTTATACGAATACCAAACTACATCACGAATAGGCATATTTGAGACGAATAGCAGTATGCATGAGAATTCCATCTTGGAGTGGATGAAATATCATATTTGGTTTACTTTCTGCTCTTTTCTCCTATTTCTTATTACTATCAATCATTCCATTGAATGACGCTCCGCTGGCCCTCCGGGTGCCACTGCCGTGGAGGCAGACTATTTGGAAAGGGAGAGAAATACATTTATATATCTTCAACAAAATCGAGCGCAGCGAGCTGAGGGGGTTTGGGTGCTTGCCCCCATTAATAAGTATATAAATCTACTGTTCTGCTCCGGTCCAGCTTTTTCCTTCCAGAAGGTTTCCAGAAGTTCTAGAATTTCTAGACTTTTTTTCTATTTCAAAAAGGAAGACATGTTAGCAAGGAATACCTTGTATATTTACCTCTATCCATATCCTTCGAAATATGCAAGGCGAGCTGTCATCATGTTCATCACCAGTCAACGAGTTGAAGATCCCATTAATGTAACAAATGTCATACAAATTTCATTATATCTCGTGAGCCTCACATTCATCATTCAATACACATTCAACAGATGTGATATTTGATGCTCAGTATGATCTTCTTCTACCGGAATGATCTACAATGAAGTATAGGGAGATCCTCTGCACATTATATTCCTCAAGCCTCGATCCCTAACTCTCATCTCTTTCTTAAATCTTTGCATGAATTTCATCTGAACTTCGACCATTTTAAGTCCTAATCTACCTCCATATGCGGAATATCCGAACCCCTCTATTCTGTCAAATGAGGTAAAGATTTAGATTTTCTGTCATTTAAACACGCAGGAGAAATTTCCTTTGCATTGTACGACCTAAGGGAAGTGTATTTAGATATTCTTTGACTAGAGCCTCAATATCTATCTGGTCGGTATCGTATCTATCTACATTTCCTACGTGTGCATACATATATACATACATACTTACTTACTTCTGTATACATACACACGTCTGTCTCTGTATACATAAAACTTCACGCATACCTGCTACCAACCTGTTTATCATCTAGATTTTTCAAAGTCCCTCCAAGAAGAAATAAAAATGAAATAATGGTTAATATCATCCTATCACCTACATTGTCAACTGGAATGTCTCCCTCCTCATCAACCAGCAATTTTTGCGGTCTTCCTCGTCCCTCAATTTCCCACTCTCATTCCAAATCCCACGATCCAATATCAGACGCAAGTTCCACTACCTCCTCCAAATTTCGCAAACAATTGGTAGCAAATGCTCGACCTTTACTACTCCGACGTCGAGATACCACAAATACAACTCACAGTATTCCATCCATAAACACCAAATCCAAACTCAGTACCAGTACCAGTAGCAGTACTTCCTACGAGGACCACGCCAACAACTATCATCATACCTCCTCTTCCTCCTCTTCTACCTCACACATCCCACCATCACGAAACCTAAAGTTAAAAAAATCACAACCACCATACACCAATTCACCCAGTTTTTCTCTCCGCCTCAATAACAGCAATAATCCCAAACGAGAATCTACAGAATTTCAATGGGCGCGCGAAGATCAATTGAGTGTGATTCTCGAATACTTGGATGAAACACGAAGTATCAGTAGCCATACGACCAATCCCGACACTGCCGATCCCACCTCAATACCCAAAACCCCACCTCTCGCGATTCCAGAAACCATCAGAGAAATTTTGAGTCCAACGCCTACTTCTACATCTTCACCTCGTACACCCAGATTTGATAAGATAGGTGTGAGAGAGCGAGCGAGTAATTCGAAACTTCCGAGCTATTCTTCTTATTCTCGAAATACGGGGACTGCGGAAACCCCGGGTAACAACACGGGTATATCAACAACTACATCCACATCGACACCCGAACCAACAAAACCTCCAAACCTAATAAGAAGAAGCGAACAAACGACTTCTGATTTGGAAGAAAACTCCAGAGATATCAGAGGAAATCTGGCACCACAGGAACAAATCGATTACACGACTTCGGCATTGGGAATTAGAATGGCTAGTTCGGGTGGTAGTGAGAGGGGAACCTCAGAGGTGATTCCGAGACCAATTGCGCATCCACCAAAAGATGTATGTTTTTTTTTTTCTTTTCTTACTGTCTTCCTTTCTGATTGTGCAATTGGGGAAATGAATGGGAATAGTGATATGGGGGCAAGCCCCCAAACCCCCTTTGCTCGCTGCGCTCGATGATTTTATATATCCTGCTAGCTGCGAGTCTGCCTCCACGGCAGTGGCCCCCGGAGCGTCAGCGGAGCGTCATTTGCAAGACTTTCTTTTGAATAACATTTTATTTCAATTGGTTCAAATATCTCCAATTTCTCAACCTATAAACACAAATCATACCCCGCAATCTCCATTTCCCACTCAAAAAAGAAACACAATTCTAACATCTTCTTTCAACAAAAAAGCTCGAATCAATCGCTCGTATAGATTCCTCCCTAATCTTCGAACACTTCACCACATCCGACGCCTGGGTTCTCGGCTCCGCATTACGAGAACGTCTCCTTCCACATCCCACCCCCGTCGTCATAAGTATCTCCCTCAGTAACGCCAATCAAATACTTTTCCACTGCTGTACACATAGTGGTACCATGCCGGATAATGATAGTTGGGTCTCGCGAAAACGGAAAACGGTACTGAGATGGGGAGTTAGTACTTGGTATATGTGGTGTAAATTTGAGGGGGATGAGGGCGCGTTTGCGAGGAAATATGGATTGGGGAATGAGTCGGGGGAATATGCTATTCATGGGGGTGGTGTACCCATTAGGGTTACGGGTGTGGAGGGAGTGGTGGCTTGTGTGGTTGTTAGTGGGTTAAAACAGTGGGAGGATCATGGGGTCATTGTGGAGGTTATTAGGGATTTATATTATTGAGGGATGGTATGTGGGAGGGGGGAGTCTACGAGATTGAAATCTTGTGAGAGAAGATCGGGGTGAGCATCTGATGTTTTCATACCCATTCCCTATTTGCATATAACGAATAGCATAACTGAATGATTCAGCTTGGGTTGCTTGTTGGCGGGTTAGGTTGGGCTGGTATGGTATGATATGACACAGTTACTTTGGATTTGCATTAATTATTTCACTCGCGGTAACAGGCGCAAAAAGTTGATAGAAAAGAAAGAAAGAAAGAAAGAAAGAAAGAAAGAAAGAAAGAAAGAAAGAAAGAAAGAAAGAAAGAAAGAAATGGGAGGCAATCAAAAGAAAGGAAAGGAAAGGAAAGAGAGTCAATGAATAATAAATGATTCAATAGACGGAAAGGGAAGAGAGTATTTAAATAAATATATATATTTATATATAAGTCTTGTATATATAAATACCAAGAGCAATTAATAATATTAAATATTAATTTTAATTTATTGTAATCATTAATATCTATACTCTCTTTTATACAAGACTAAATAAAGAGTAAAGTATACTTTATATGATTTTATATAAAAACAAGTTTAATATTTTATTTTCAACTTACTTTTTTATATTGAAAATTATTCCTTTCATCTACTAATAACTTTTTGATTTATAGATTTAATTCCCTGAAATTTTAACTCGTTCTCTTGTTATAATATATAAATTCATGTATAAAATATCTTGCCGCAGACAGCTAGTTAATGGGAGAACGGCCCAAAAACCTTAGATTCTTTTATTCCTCTTTATATTCCATAAATAGCTCAAAGGAGATATATAACTCAAAACCGCAATTGCACACGGGAGTAGCTACATCCAAAGCTCCAAATGAAAAAAAAAATCTATGATATTACCCTCGAGACGCAATACAAACTCACCCATTATATAAATCGTCTGCCATTTGCCCACCAACGAATTGCGCGTTGATGAGATATGGCCACTATTGTAATTGGGTAGCTCAAGGATTTTGAAGCGCTAGAATTAGCGACGGAGGGAAAATTAGTCGTCATATTGAAGCCTGTGGTGGAAGCATGCAACCTACAGCCTTAGCTCGTGCTCGAGTTACTGGTAAGGAGGTGTTTGATTGGAAGCCTTGCAAAGAGGTAGCTGGCCGATATTATTGTTGTTGATGCTAGAATAATAATTGGTCCCTAAATGCTGCCATTACTATAGCAATGCAGCAAGACCAATAAGCGGCTTTGGTTTGCATAGTTTCTCTGTTAATTTGATATGATGGGTGTTGAAAATGTGATTAGAAAAGCAGTGGAAAGTTGAAACTATTAACATTGTTACTGCACACGAAGATGGGCTAAAGAAGGAGGACAAGGATCGGAATGACGTAGTGGAAGAAATTGTTGAAAATATCAAATGTAATACTAAACAGCTAGCTAGCTAAGAGTGTTATGATGAAGACAGGAGAGGACGTGGTGAATGCATTTGCCGTCAATTTTCAATACGAATCTTTCCGCGAAACATGTGTGTTTAGAAGCAACCAGTTCTAAGGCCATTCAGACATAATCAACAGAGAAGGTATTCGTTAACCAATAATTTAGCCAGTTGTGATGTCACCGGTAGTCGTAGCGCCGCACAAAGATATTACAAATTCCAATACGAAAAGTGAGAGAAAAGATTGCAGTCAGCGCGCAGATACTATACCAGAAATCAAGAGTCAATATAGTCTCATATACATTCTAAACCTCCGCACTTTCATCACGGGATGAATCCCGTGAGTAGCTTGGGCCGCGTAATTTGGACTATTTTATGCAATCATTCTATAGGACGAAGTTGATTGGGATTCATAAGCCTGAATAGGTGCCCATGGTCTTGGTTTTCTGATATCTTTGAAGGAAAGATGAAGCTATGAAGGGTGGTGGAAGCGGAAGTTAATGATGGATTGGAATGGCAATGAAACTTGACAATTTGAAAATCCCCTCTTGGATGTAGTAGCACATAATCTTAAGTTCTTTGTCATCAATATATTATGACCCAAGCCAAACTGCAGTCTGGCAAGCTTACATATAGAATCGAAAACTCGGATCCCATATTTCCTTGAAGCAACCGAAAGGAGTCGGGGAGAATAATTCAGCAGGCTGGAGTTTGTCCGCATAGTTCCCTGTGCAGTTGTGCACGAATTACAGCCTCGAGAAACGTTTGAATGGGAAAGGGTTTCGAGTTATAAAAAGGTCTTGAAAGGTGACTGACGCTATTCCAACATCATCTACAACATCAAAGCTAAGGTGAAAGGAGATGCGGAACATGACTGAGCTAAACCGTTATCTCTCAAGAAAACATTCCTTGGTCAACCCTAAAAATATAAAGCAATGGCAGGGTAACATATGATAAGACGATGAAACATCCGACAAAACAGGCAGGAAGAAAAAGATGACCAAGGTACAAGGAGCAATGAGCACTTGGCCCGTGTTTATTACATCCTAGTTAAGACAGGAATGTTTTATTGTACACACTGTAGAGCATGATACGTCGCCTATTCTGTGAACTCGGCAAGATTTGAGAATTTGAGGTGATACTTTTAAACACCTGTGATGAGAACTATCAAGGGACAAAAACATGTCTAATTTCATCACACAGGATAAAAAATAATATAAAGTGTATAACTTCAGAGCAGGCTATACAAAAAATCTTTCAAAAACTGCAATCTCCCAAGGCTTTCCGGAACCGAATCCTTCAAACCGGAAATATACATCCATCCCAGTATGTCAACGTGCCACTTGCACATAGAAAAATGTCGTCGTAAGCTTTAGCCGTGATATTGGAAACACGAAGCACAAAGACCAACTAAATTGAAGAAAAAGTGTTTTGTTGCAAGTCTGATTTTTTGCCCAGCTTTCTGCTTTTCCTTACTTGGCTTGGTTTGCAGTCTGAAATGAGGAATTAGTGGAACTTTGTAGCGGGAAGAGCGGCATCTGTGTCGGGTAGGACTAATGTAGTGTAGCTTTGTCCTTTCTTTTCTCTTATTCCCACCACTAAATGTTGGAAATGGAGGCCACAGTGACAGTGGATGAAGGTTTATGAGAAAGGGAGGAAAGAGAACGGGGAGAAGAGAAGAAGAGAGGTTGTCAAAAGAATAACTTGGCCTTGTTAACCTTATCACGTGAATACGTGTACTTTTACTCCGAGGTAATTGGACTTGTATTATATCCTTCCATGAAATTGTCGAACGCGCCGTGAATGTCATTAAGCATGAGGTAGTTTGTTGTTTACATCATTATGGAGAAGAAATGTTTAACAATGATCGCCATTGACTCGGAAGACCTTACTCTTGCGCATTTTCAATGGTAACTTTATTGCTTGAGATGGCCATACGTCTCGCATATCTCCGCGTATCAACGCGCGACAATAAACCTTCCGCAAATTGTCAAAATGGCTGAAATATATCACAAAGTCCGGCCAGAAGCTTTGAGTCCTCCAAAATCAGCGCAGCCAGTAACGGCAGATCGGTTACTGGAACTGGAAGAGCAACAACGGGCAAGGTGTAATGAGACGAATGGTGGACTGAGACGAATCAAGACGGGATGTCTAGAGATTGATGATTACGTTCTTTGTGCCAGTGAAAATGAACTGGGTCCGGGTTTTGAGAGAGGTATTGTGGTAGGCTTGAGTGCTGCTGATGGAGATGAATCTGTAGGTAGTAGATTGGTAAGTTTCTACAAAATTATGTATCCAATCCTGCATGAACGAGATGACTGACCGCGATGTTAGATATCCCTCAATCTTATAGCCTCAGTTCTTCTTCAACATGTTGATTTGGTAAATGCCATCCAGAACCGTCAAATTAGATCAGGAAATGCGTCAAAACCAAAAGTCGTAGTGATCGATGCAACCGGTTCTTTTAACCTTCCTCTCTTAGTCAAAGTGTTGAGATCGAGACTCGTTAAAATGAGACATGAGATGAAAAGTATGGATGATACAAAGATAAATCGTGGGGATAATCACAATTCCGAAGCAGATACCGAAATCGAGATACAAAAAGAGGTGAATACAATGTTGGAGCTGGTTGCAATTAGTAGAGTCTTTGATATTGAGGGATTATGGGAGGTACTGGGTGAGATAGGACGAACAGGTGGCCAACACAGTGACGATGAGGATCAGGAAGACTCTAATAACAATCCATCGCCAAAAATCAAATATGCTGAAAAGCAAGCAGAACCTCCACTGTTCAAACTACCAGATGAAATTGGCGATAGCGAAGAAGAAGACATCGAAATGACCCCGCCACCAGTCAAACTCACAACATCGAACACAAGTGAGGCAGAAACTGCTCCCGAAATACTAGTCATTGAGAACATGCATTACCTAATATCCCATCTCTTCACGCATTCTGAAAAATCGTCAGCACACAATCTCCTCTCCCTACTATCACGAACGCTACACACATTAACTCATACCCAAAATATCCTCACCATCCTCCACAACACCACCATTTCCACCAAAATCAACTACACAAAACCCGGTGCTCTTCAAGCTCCTCCAGCTATTCAATCTATAATAACTTCCACGGCCCAAAAACCTTCATTAGGAAGAATATTTGATGATTTTCTAGATCTACATATCATGATCTCGAAAATACCGAAGACGAAAGCAGATGCTGAGGTACTTTATGGTCAGGATGAGAATTTTCCGGAGGAGCAAGTTAATTATTGTTTTGTTTTTGAGGTTTTGAGGGATGAATGTCCTATTTTGGGCGAAGATAGAGGTTTAGAAAGGAAGTTTGGAGATAGAGAACAGAGATGGGGACTCTTTGAGGTCGGGAATGAGGGGATGGAGTTGGTTGATGCTTTTAGGGGTGGCGCGGAGATGGTGACGGGATGACGGGAGACGTTGTTATGATCGCATGATGAAAATATATGAAGTTGGAGGAAGATAAGATGGTGTAAATGCTGCGTGAGGTACGTACCATTACATTATTTGAAGAACAAGAATGAGATTGAAAGGAAATATCCCCGTCATCACAATCAGCTCAACAGTACTCGCAGTTTGCGATGGCATTGTGCGGGGTAGTATCATACATTCAAGATGAATTCATTATATCCATCAAAGCCATACATTTCCCATTGTCTTAATTCATACCAGCTTAAGTACTACAAGATATCTCCACGATCTCTCTATTCCACCAAAATATTCCCCCTTGAAATCCACCCAAACTAGCTCAACATCCACAGTCCGTGACCCGAATGCATTACAATCACTACTCCGAATATCCATCTGGCACCTCTTCCCCCGCCTCTTCCCATCCCTATTCCCTTCTGGAAAAAGGAACCATCTAAACCCTCATCGGATAATTTTAACTTCATTTGAGTACTCAGCATTTACGGGCCACTCACTGCCCATTCCTCTTTCCCCTCATCCAAAATATTCCCTTTGCTTCCCCGTTTAACTAAAATCCATAGAAGGAGATCACTGTATCTATCAAGTCTTCTAGAGCTTAAAAAATCAACACCTGCCAGCTTTATTGAAATACGTATGTCTCGAGTTCGAAATTCCCTGAGTCCATTTGATCTTTGATCTTTGTCTATGCGAGGCGCAACGAAGATCTGTAGTTTATATAGTTGAGTAGTTATATTCTATACTGTGGAGTCTGTATTACAAAAAATCTATCAGTTAATTATTATGAGATATATTCTAAAAGAAACAGAACTTTCATTACTCCCGAAAAATATATCAGCAGACGGATCATGGATGGTTGTTAGAAAAGAGTATGGGGATTTGAGAGGAAGATTATAGATGGATAGAAATCAGACTTATAATTTAGAATTCGAAACATAAGAATTTTGATTTACTACGTAATTGATAATATCCGCCATTAGGTACTGTGTTGTGGGATGAAATGAGATGAGGTGAGATGAAATGGACTTATATCCTTCATGTTCGGAACTATACAATGAAGGAAGAGAAACTCGCTTGCATGTTGAATCTCAAATATAAAAAGTCTGTTTATCAACATCATCCAACAATAGATGTTATTGATCAACCAAAAGCTTTCCCTACACCATATACCAAATGCCAGCCCTTAAAACCCAAAAATTATCTTGTCACATCCTTAAGAAAAACATCATTGATTCGTCCCTCTTATGAGGAGCTAGCGCAAATAGTAGAGTGAGTGGAACGGCGGGTTCATGCGTACCATACATTATATCCTGTCTTTTTTGCTATTCCATCTCCTCAAATACCACCGCCAACCAGTAACCCACAAGTACTCAAGAAACCATTATAATCCATTTTCACTCCCCATATGCAATCAAAAACGATCAAGTACGAGAAATCTACTCAAGAAACTTAAACTCAACTCTCATTTCATTGTCATCAATCTCACGGGAGGAAATCTAGGAATGGAAAACGAAGAATTGCAACATATCCGCGAAATGTGAACCAGGAGATGGGGAAAAGGTACAGCAATAGGAGAAGTCCAAATTCTGTCCATTGAATATGACTAAGCATATTGTTATGAAAATATGCATTGGAGGAAAGATCGAAATGGGAAATGATATGAAAAGAAAGGTCGTATTCTTTAAAGTTTATCAATTGGATATGTTTTTTGAGGTGGACATCTCGGACATGGTGGAAAAGATTCAAATCGAGTCCCGTGGGTGAAGAGGGGAGCGCCTAATACCTAGGAGGACAAAGAAGATTGCTAGAGGAAATAAAAAGGGTTAGGGGCAAAATTACAAACATGACCCCGGCTACTATGTCCAGTGGTATTGGTAGTATTATAAAATTCCTAGGTTTTTCGTAGGCCCAGGAAACCAAATGACTCCATTTGTTCGTAAATCTCCAAGTTATGAAACTTAGCAGAATGCAATTACATATGCACACACATTTCGCACCGCATTGCACTGAGATGCATGTCCTTCCTGACCATCGATTTTTGTACCATTCTTGTCATTGTGAAGCTATTGACCAAGATCACGCCGGAAAGCCCATATTTGCTCGACCATGCTTGATTGAAAACCTCCCGAAATATTCGAATATTATTCGTTCATTTCGTTAACAACAACCCAATCCCTTCCATTGCACCCCGACAACCATAAACCACAAATTTAACGGCTAGTGTTCATTGGCTTTGGTGCCTTGCCCTTGGAACCTTGCTTGCTGACTTTCGATTGGGTGGAAACATTGGTCTTTGCCTTTGCGGCCTTCTTGACGGCTTGCTCTGCGGCACGCTTCTCCTTGGCTGCCTTGATGGCGGATTCACGAGCAGCGGATCTGGCTTCTGGTCTTTGACTTCTACGCTCCTTGATGACTTCGAGGGAAGCACCAACAATACCTCTTTGGGCCTTGACGGTCTTGCGGGAACGCTTCTTAGCAACCTCCTATATGTTGAGAACTTCATTAGTAATTTTGGCCTTCCGAATTTCCCATGATGTCATTTATCCCATCTCGACGCGAATTGAATTGCGAAATAAATTGATATCGTACCTCAGAGATACCCTTCTTGTGTTGTCTTCTGAAGAGAACGGTCCATGCAATTCGGCGAGGGTTCTTGCGTTGCAAGAACAACGATTCGGATTTACCGTTTTGGAAACGGAAGATCTTGGAGTCTCCACGAATGTAGAGCTTGCCCTATATAATAGACAAACATAATCAGCATTGAATTCCCTAGCTCCCAACCCCTATGCGCTCTTCAAGTCATTCCCAAATCTGCGCCTCCGTGATCGATCCATCTTCTCCCTTCCTCCTCAATTCCAACATCCATCGCCACACCGCAATCACTAAAGAATAACACTCGTACCTTTCCAGGGTAGATCTTAGCTCCGGAGAAGGAATCTTCGTAAGTACGCATGATGTCGACGATGTAAGTTGTCGTTTTGTCGTGGTTTGTCGTGCGATGGTTGTTTCCTGCGGAGTCGTGGGCAGGTTCGAGATATTGCCAGACACCGAATTCGTTAGACTCTTAATTTTTTTGGTTTGCGATTTGCGTGCGAGCCGCTAAACTCTCGCTAAATTGGCCCTAGTTAAATTAGTATGAGCCTTCCAAAGTAGTCAATAACCTTGTCAGCCTTGTCAGCCTTGTCAGCTTCTCGTACTGTTCGGATGATAATTGGGCTTTTGTAGAGTTGATTACAATTTGAAAGGAGCAAAGGTAAAAATTCAAGACGGTTACAATGTTTTATTTTTCGTGAAATGCTTTATTGGCTTCAGAGTGTAGAAACCCGAACCTTGAAATGGCCATCACGTGATCTACCCCATCGCTTACATCCTATTCCTTACTTCTCGTCTTGAGAACATGGACCTTTGCTCTCAACACCGGTTATACTGTAAGCAGTAGTAGCCATGACGCCTGTCAAGATTTCATTCAGTCCAGAACCGTATCCTGATGGATCCCCAGAAATACTTCAAGAAATCACTCATGATAATGGACATATTTGGACTTGGACACCTTTACTTCAGCATAAATGTTCATTCCCCCCCGAGATCTTTTCGCAGGTTATGCTGAATTTAGTTCGGAATCCAAACATTAACTCTAACCATTTATTTCGAGCTGATATATCGTTGGAACAGCAATTTGATGAGAATTTTCAGAATGATCCCACGATTCCTGCGAGGATCATTCATTTTCGCAACTACACTTTACAAAAAGTTATGGTAAGAACCATGATACCCAGAAATATTCTAAAAGATAGGCCACTCGATCAAACATGTCTCTTTTATACGCAAAGTATGGATACTGGAGAACTTCAATCTTTAGTCATTTATCTCCCTCACATATCATCACCTGATGAATCACCATTTTATCATCCCAAGGTTCACGGAATTGCCTTTCAGCATACTTTTAATCCTGGGACGCAGGATGGAAATATTGCAATACACTATTCATTTTTCGATTCCGAACCTCGCTCTCAGATACTTGAAAGAACCGCCGGGCATCTATTGGCTGCTCTGTATAAGCATGGACAGGGGACTGCTGCAGGATATGTCAAGAAGGTTCATCATGATACTATCATAGCTCAAGCTACTGTTCAAAATACATATGCTCGTCTCAAGGCCAAATATGCAAAGACTCTGATTGATAATTGGGCTGAAGTCACAGACCCTGAAAAGCATGTTTTCGAAGATCTGAACATCGCAGCATTCCTCATTGAACTTTGGGCCGATACTTATAAAGACACAGAGTTTCCAGGTTATGTTGATATTGGCTGTGGAAATGGATTGCTCGTTCACATTTTATCAGAGGAAGGTTATACAGGTTGGGGGTTTGATGCCAGGGAACGAAAATCTTGGAGTGTTTTCGGGCCAAAAACACGAGAAAAATTACAAGAACTTGTCTTAATACCCTCAATTCTATATTCAGAGTCAAATGAAAATCAAACCTCGGGACCTGATATTCATAATGGGACGTTTCCCAAGGGAACATTCATTATTTCAAATCACGCCGATGAGCTGACTCCATGGACACCTATCCTTGCGAACATCTCGCAATCTCCATTTATGATGATTCCATGTTGTAGTCATGCTCTTAGTGGCGCAAGGTATAGAGCACCACCTCCCAAAGGATCCGAAGGTACTCCATCGGCTTACGCTTCTCTTGTCGCATGGGTTGCGGGGCTTGCTGAAGGATGTGGATGGGAAGTAGAGAAGGAATGGCTACGAATACCTAGTACGAGAAATGCAGCTTTAATCGGAAGGAGAAGAAAATTAGATTATGGAGAGATTGATGTACGGGAGTTTGTGGATGCAAATGGTGGAGCTGCAGGTTGGAAAGAGAATGCAATGAAGTTGGTGACGGGAAAAGCGAAAAATCATTGATGGATTCGTGTCCAAGGCTCATGCTGTCATCATTTCTACCAGCCAATATATCGTCACATGCGAAACTCTTTTCCCAAACTCAAAGTGCCAGAGATACAGTTCCTATCTGCGAGCCAACTTTCCACGGCCCAAAATTCTCTGTCCCGATCTCGAAAATGCCGAGAAATACGCAGTTTATCTGCGAAACCTTTCCACCAACAAGGAAACTCCATCTGATGAGCTGCTTATACATGAAGCCATTTCCTCTTTCTCGGAAATGCTGTGAGGTGCACCATTTAAAGCCATTTCCACATCCTAGGATGGTCCATGAGATACGCCTCTATTTGCAACTCGCCAAGAACCAGGAAATATCATGAAATAGACCGCCCTCCCTCAGTGCAAACAAGTGGTCGCCGATTTATCATTACGTTATCCCATCTAAGTCGAATCTCAGAGCTTAAGCGTCTCAGAACTTTCCAATTCTTTTTCAATCCTTTCTAAATCTAGTACTTTATTCAGCATTGTTGCCACAAATACATTTTGTATAAATACCCCTAAAACCTTGACCTCATTCAAGGTATCAGACCATCCTCGCCTATATATTTGGCATCTATATCGCAATATCATTGCCGCCCGCTTTTACATGACGCATTGATGTGGAAGTGGGCCACGAGTGTACATGCGAAAACCTTTTCTTAAGTTCACAGATACATGAAATAAATACACCATCTACATACAAAAGCACTTCCCTCGAAGCAAAGATGTCGCAGACAAAATCAAGAGAAGATGGAAAGATATATTCAATTGAGGGCTCCATCCGCCTTGTATACCATCCTGAACCAAAGGCCAAGAATCAAAAGCCGATGGTACTGCAACTGTAAGTTACTACTCTACGACTTCTTACCTTTTATATTCAGAAGGTCATGGCATTGAATTGCTGTCCGGTTCGAGCAAATTACCATACTCAGAAGAATGTCTATCGTTAATGATTCGAACATTTTGTTGGATTTATGGTTTCGAACCAGTCCAATAGTTCTTTTGAAGTCAATCATTCAGACAATTTGAGATTTGCATCACTCCCATATTTCCGATTGGACAAGCGATTAGCTAAAGATCTTTCAAATAACTTCATATTTTTCCAATTATTTCAATCTTCAAAGTCTCTTTACGCCTGAATGCTTTGAATACCCGGTTCTAGCTTTTACCCAAGTACAGTCTCAATCATTGTTGAATTAAATAGAAAACTCGAAACCTCCAACACTGATAGGGTGGATTACTGATCCCAATATGGGAACAGAGACGGAGGAACTAGTCTGCTGGCATTTTCGAGATAAACAACATATATGATATCAAAGCCATGTGATAATAGTAGCATTTATTTGTCCATCTGTTCTGAGACATTGAAAACACTATTCAGATTGGGAAAAAGGACCAATTATTCCTTTTCTCCAGAACTATTGCTGTTTAATTCAATATTGGCATTAGTGTCGATTGTCCCACTGGTATTCGATACAGTGACTAGATCTGATTCGATTGCACATGCACATAGCGAACTGCAAGTTCAAAAGAAGTTTCAGCACCACTGCATTAAATGTATCGGGTGACGTATGATTTAAGAGTAAAAAAGAGCTAAATGGGAAACTTGGGAAGACGCTCGTAAGGGATTCGGGCATTATGCAATAAAATATAGCATTGGAGAATGGAGAGCTAAATCGGACTGAGAGAAAAGAATCGCCTTTGCATACCGGCCAGTATCCGTTCATTTTCATGTTTTCGTAAAGCTATAGCTAGGAATAAAGCATGGAAGAGAAGATTGCCTTTCATGTTTTTTAGATATCACCAAAAGAAATCAGAAATAGGTGGCGAAGTAAAGAGGAAAAGAGCAATATATTGCATATATCATTTGCACGTATCCGAATACTCACAATGAGTCACAATGAAAAAGACTTTTTGAATGCCCTTTCATTTTCCTCCTTTATGATGGATACTCATCACCATACCAATCTACAGGTTAAGACGTGAAAGAGGAGCTATGGTGGTGAGTAAACGGAGCTAAAGAATAGAAAATGAAAGAAGAGAAAGGGATATTGTGTCGGCGAAATACAGGTATCCGATTCCTTGCTCAATGATGATAGTGATGATGCGCATATTTCTTTCTTCAACTTTTTCATATATATACCACTATAATATCGCATTATCTTATCAACCCAACATTAATCATGCAATTCTCTCTTGCATCCTTATCAAAATCCAAGGCCTTGGACCCGGGACCCAAAACCGAAATGCCACCCCTCCCCCACCAGCTATCCCACACCCTCATTTGTAACACCCTCACCCGCCATTCTCACAAAATCGACGTCGTCGTAACCTCCTCTCTACTTCTGGGCCTAAATGGTTTAAAACAACACCAAACAACTACATTCCATGGATATTCAGGTCAAGAAGTCATGGGACGATATGAAGATGAGCAACGTGATGGAGTTGGTAAAGGCGTATGGACCTATGATAGAATTAAAGAAGGGGTATAAAGTTGAGGTGGGAGAATTGAGAGATAGGGGGAGAGTAAGAAGGGGGCGGGGAAAGAATGGAAGGAAAAGCGCATGTGGAAGAAGGTTTAGCAGGTATGGAAGATATTGCAGGCATGAGGGCAATACGTGAAAGCGATGGTCCTGGTCCAACAGACTGGAAAAGCACGAGACTTACGAGAAATATAGAGGCTTCGGGTGGATCCGAGAATGTCGGGAGAGTGGCTGGCAATCAGGAGGATGCGAAAAGAGAAACGGAAAACAGGAGCAGTGAAAAGAGTGCAGATGTTGATGATATGAACTAGACACTAGAGGAACAGTTGGGATGAGGTGGGCATCATTGAGCCAACCATTGGCCGGCGCATCATGGTTTTCTAAGAATGAAAACATGATTTCAATCGTAGTGCGGGTGGTTTTCGATGTAAACGTCAGATCCAAATAATATTGTGAAGAATAGTCCAGCGCATACAATGTAACTCCGTGCCTTTGCATTTTTCTACCAGCATGAAATGCAGAAAGAAATACTACTTCACGATATAATGGAGATATCCCAAATACTTTTAGGAAATACTAGAGGCTGTGAAATTGTGAAGTGTCACCTGTTCAGGATTACAAACTTGTCTAGCTCGTCGAGCCATTGACCGGAAGAAAAATTGGATCCTTCTATCTCCCGATTGAACACAACGGAATCTGAATGCTCTTGATCAATACGAATGATATTGTCATATAGAAGGACTTGACGTGTAGTATGATTTTGTACAGATAAGTAACCTTCTGACCACCTGAAATTTTATATTCGAGCAGCGAATGCCGTAACATAGCCAGAAAGAAGAATATGATCGTTCTCGTATCAATGCCGTCACCGGTTCTCTAATATCATTCCTAATTGACTTTGCCTTGGGTACGGGAAATTTATTCGACCTTATCCTCAAAGTTCTCTCCTTCGACCAAATCTGGGATATCGTCATCATCCTCCTCATCATCCTTCTTCTCCTCGCCAGCTTCTGCCTTTTGCATCGATTGGTAGCTCTCGGCAAGCTTGCGGAGGGAGGCAAGGGAATCTGGGCCGAGTTGGTTAAGGATACCTGGGACAAGCTCGGTGAGCTCTTTGTCTTCACCGTTACCGTAGATTGCGAAGGTGTTGGATGGGACAGCAGCATGAACTATTGATTAGAAGGTTAGTGTAATGTCCAGTAGCTCGTATTGTGAGGTCAAAGTACCCTTTGGTGCTGCGAAGTGGATAACATTTCCGTCGGACTTGAACATGTTTACTTCTTCAATAGCTTGGATGGGTTGGACATTAAGCTTCTTGAGGGAAGTCTGTAACTTTTTGTCGTCCATTCCAGTGCTCTTGTGAACATTCTTGACCTTTCTTCTTGGAGTACCCTTTCCACTGTTGTGTCGTTAGCATACCGTTGCTACCCCGCTATGCGCTTCCTTCAAATCATAAACTTCGGCATCGTATTCGCTGATGATGAATTGCAGATGAAGATGAAGGATTCTGTCACATACCCTTGGGCCACATGTTAGCTTTTAAAAATTCAGATATCGCAAAAGAAAAAAAGGGCATGGCGCAGTCATCAAGCCAGCCCCTCCACCCTCCAAAACGTCCCATCTGAAGCTGTTCAACTCTTCTGCCATTCGCATAATCTACGGTGTTCGCTGCAATTTGACTCACCAGTTCTGACACCACCTCTGGCCTGCATTCTCTTCAACTTTTCCATATCCATGATTGCTATAGTTTGACCTTCGTCGAGAAGTGAGGGGAGGTATTAAATGAGGAAGGATTGGAAGCTGTTCTATAGGATGCGAATATCGTCAGTCAACAATTTCATGTATCCGCCCAGCAGGAAGTTCCGTAGCGCTTGTGTATTTTTCGATATTATACGTACAGTTGTGAAGATTTGACTTTCCTATGTAATCAACTCGTCGTCGTGTGTTTGAAGGACCTCAGCGCTCATTGTGTGTGCCAAGAATTTCCATTTTTAAGCGAGGATTTTCTGTGGGGAAAATCTACAGCCTCGTCAAGCGGCGTCAAAAAAGTGTCAAGTTAGTTAGTTATTGATCATGATCAATTATAGTAACAATATAACAACAACTAAATAACTAAACAACGATGCGATGGCCATGACAACTTTCATGCGGTATGGCGAAGAGCTGATAAATGGTGGAAAGTTGAGGAGAAAGACAAATTTGTCTCCTCGAATCATCGTATAGAGTTATTACGACTGACTTCCTCATCCCCTCCACTTTAGTCCATGGTTAGTACTAGGCATACTATCATCTAAAATTCAATGAGTAGGCGGTTCCTTGTGTCTGGAGACAAGAATAGGTATATGGCTGTCCTCGAGAGGATGAATTTGTCTTTCCATTTTCCTGAAATCATTGGCGGAGATCAATGTCGATGGTATAATTATGCAACAGTAATTTTCCTTACTCCGTCCTTGTTCCCTCTGGATCCTTGATAGATCTCGCATAAACCAATCCATTCAGAAACAGCCTGCGGAAGGAGATACACTATACTGTCCTATCATAGACTATGAGGACAGTTAGTATCTAGGGATACAATGTGTTATCACGTAAGCATATTTCCAAAACATTCACGTGTAAGACTTTATCTATCACATCAAGCTTGACGGCCATGGTAGTGACACTTTTGTTGATTCTCTTGATCCTACCTTTGTGGTAAATGATCATGAAGGTGTCATGGTGTCATCAGGCTTGATTTGGGCTTCCTTGTAGCTCTTGCTTATAGATGTGTGCCATTGGCGTATCGGAAAGACTCTCTTAGCTAGATACCCTGTGCGACGACCAACTCTGGTGAGGATTGGAAAGGATGCCGAATTGGATCCATGCTATCGTTTTCGGAGGTAACATTTCGGATGATGCTATCTCCTTATGTCTGAGTCAGCTGGAAGAGGCCTGTGACAGTTGTTCGTAATACATAGTAAGCTATGAAGGTCAAAAGATGCTTCTTGACTGAGGAAAAGGTATATATTTGCCATGCATTACAGGATCGAAAGGGAAAATCACACCTTTACCAGAATCCTCCTCAATCACGCGTCGCCAGTCTCAATATCAGGATGGCATGTGGATAATATGGGCTGCATAATTCAACGCAAACCATGCGAATTCAAATTCTTTGACAATTGGAGAAATTGGACATCTCAACGAGGAAAGAATAAAAGAAGATTTGGCCAGACTTTCTCCGGTCTGGAGCAGTATGGTGCGCACCATTAAACGTGAAGGTTATGGTATATGAGCTGCAGTTAGGTGATATTATGCGCATGATGTCAGAAGCTATTCATGCTCCCGATGACTCCTTTGCCTTCTTTACTCTTCAAAATTACTCGTCGTTGAAAGCACAAAGTCCATTGTTGGGATACCGCGAGCTCGAGAGTACTGTAAAGCTCCAGGTAAGACCTCCCTTTCCTCCCGAAATGCACAAAGTAAGCTTAATCCTAAGTATACTCCATCAAGTGTCTTTACATTGTAGCTATATTAGATGAACTTAATTGCTACAATCAATTCGTTGCTATCAATGCCACAGTTGAATGTGGAATTGAACGTTTCACGTGCTTTGGAGCATCGGTAACCCCTAGTGTGAAGTTTCCCCGCAGTACTCAAGCACGAAACCATCAAAATGATTTTTGTCAGACTCTACAACCAATATCCAATATCCAATATCCAATATCCAATATCCAATATCCAATATCCAATATCCAACTACTTGACACCGCATCTCATCGCATCTACAACTATGGAGACTGGTCCAAAGAATGTTCAACAGATCAAGTCACTCCATGCAGATCTTGCACGAAAATATGAATTACACGGTTCCAAAATTGAACAGATCTAGCGAAGATTTAGCCAAAATCAACGAGCGGAGGCTTTCAAGGCTGGCGTACCAGAAAATGCGTATTTGAAACATTCAAGAGATCGTTCGCTGGGCAACCCTTGGAAAGTGATTCCCGAGTTAAATCTTCATGACATGGTGGCAGAGCCTGACTTTCTACTTGATCATTTAAAATACCGTGCGACAACATCACTTCTGCATCAATACAGAGAGGGGGTTCATAATGGACCCGGAGATTGCATATTTATCTTGGAGAGTATGCGCAACAACAATCTTGGTCATGTACATGGTTTTAAATATTGCTACACCCGTTTTTTCGACGAGGATACTTATGGCCAATCAATCAGATCAACAACAGCTGCTCAACATCGCGATATTATAACCAAGCTCGCGTTTGCTTTTCAAAGCAGAGCTATTGTTCCACAGGAAGTTGGAGAATTCGTTCTCACCAGGCAGCTGTATATCCTTTCACAGCTGAACGTATTAGTCGGAGACATTCTAGAAATTGGATCTACTACCAAATCTACGAAGCCCCGACCACGAAAGCCAGGAGAGGCAGTTATTTCTGCTCCTTTAAACCTTTCCGTTGTTCAAAACCAGGAGAGTTTTTCGTTGGACGACATAATGAACAGCTCCTTAGATCAGAAAACTGCTATGAACGATTATTTGGTTTTGTGTTGCTCTGAGTCAGTTGTTCTACAACACTTGGTCAATACTTGGTTCTTCAGTCGACCGGAACTTGTACCCGATGAGAAGGGACGGATCTTCCCCGTACTAGGCGATAAGTACATTAATATATCAATTTTCGAATTGATACACAATGCTGCTACTGGGGTTGCAAACTGGGATTACATACATCGCCTTCTCCAACTTCTCTCGGAGAGGCCCGATGATAAAATTGCAAACGCTATTTTGCTTCAGGAGATATCAAACGTAGCTCATCTCGAATTCTCGCGGGTCCAAAAAGTCTTCAAACGCTATGTAGCATTAGGGACAGGTTCAAAGTACTTCAGACGTGTCTCAGGGAAATATGACAATGGATTTGCGCGTGTATTGCTCAAGCAAGATCCAAAGCTTCTAACTAGGGAGAATCCACAACTTTCTTATATCTTTCGCCTCTGTTCCTCTGAGATTGATGCCGTCAAATCAGGTACTTGGATCAAGAAATTAGATGACCTCTATCGTCTCCACCCCACTGAGCGATCTGGGGTGCACGATGCAGTTCTGGACGCATTCGATGACCTGGCAGTTATCGCCAGTTTTGTTCAAGCTCTTTCTGCTACCGTTACTCTGCCACCAAGGAACCCTAGGAGGGGACAGATATATGCGTCAAGGCTCAACAGCTTGCTAGGCGAGCTTGAGCCACTAAAGCATGAGGTCGATCTTTCGAAGTTTGCGGTACCTATGGAAAACCTCCTTGAGCCCGGCATGACCGAAGGAGCTATTGATGCTCTAGATCAGCTTACGACAATACGAATGGGCACAAACACTGGGTCTCTGTACCAGGATCTTGTAGCAGATTGCGTGTCGCAGATCCAAACTCATTACGAACAGCAGAAGGACAGAGTTGCACAGATCGGGAAGAAACCTCCTAAGACCTTCGAGGACCCGACCCATGAGGCCTTGGCACCAGATATACTCATACAACGACGAAAAGAAAAGAACAAGGCTCGGCCCGCAGATGCCTCTCCTTACGATATAACTCGAGACACAGCAAAGGCCACACAAGTGGAAGTATCCGAGTCGCCTTTGGTATTCAAAGTCAACAAAAATACGGCACAGGTCTTCTCCACTATGTTCGCAAAGTCTGAAGCCCGAGGCTCAGTCAATTGGACCGCGTTCGAAGCTGCAATGGTTGATTTGAAATTCTCTGTTATGCCAAAATTCGGATCTGTATACACCTTCTCTCCAGAAGAGAACGTGGGGGCTAAGAAGTCTATTACGTTCCATCGGCCTCATAAGTCGGAGATTGAGGGATGGAAGTTGATTATATTTGCTAGTCGACTGAGGAGAGTCTACGGATGGAACGAAGGATCTTTTGAGCTGGTTTGACGTTGGGCAGTAGATTTTATGGCATTGCAAAGGGCAGACCCCGGACGAGAATTATGGTATCATTAATAGAGCTAATGCGGTTCTAGTATGTAGTAGCAGCTAATACAATGGCTGTTGCCAAAATCTTAATATACATTAAGCACCAGGTGTGGCTTTAAGGGTGGCTTTAAGGTGGGGAGATAGTGCTACTTTATTGCGCCGGTGGGTAAAACGGGGCCATGTGACTTCTTTGAGTGATCAATGGAAGACCTATCTGTCCTGATAGAGGATATGAGATGTTCGAGGCTCGCATCCACCAATTTTGATCTCATAAGTCATAATTAATTACAAAGCAACGGGCCGGACTAAAGGAAGTAATTAGTGTTAGCTACTGGTTTTTTGGATCTTCTCCGACTCGGGCTTTTGACGTCTATCTTTTCTCAGTCAAATGAAGAAATCTAGAAGTTTCATACGGGCTCAAAACATTTCGATGTCTAATACTGCAGTAGGTTCAAGTAATAGCCTCTCACAAAAGAGATTGAACACCATGGAACTGCAGGCTAGAGCATCTAATTTACTGTATTGGCATTGGAATAGTGGAAGAACTGCAGATATACAGAGCTCCACCATATCTAAGCGGCCTAGCTATTCCACTCTAACTCTTTTCCATCTCTAGAGCCTCAACCTTTTTCTTTAACAAACCTCATTCTCCTCTATCTTATATATGGCTATTCTCGGCTTTACTGCTTAATTTACCTGTCAGTCAATTTCTTCGAGGTTACGCGGTAGCTAGACCTAGTAGGGGAAAATGCATTAATCCATCACGAGCCTGCAAAGGTAGTTGATTCATATCCTGCCTAATGAATGTAGCAATAGAACGCATCGGGATTATCCTTTCTTACTAGACTGCTACGGTAGATGATAATGTGAAATTGTGTGAGTGTTGGTAAGCTATGAAATTGAATGATTGAAGTGAAGTCGCTCAGACGCTCAGTCGCTCAGAAATTGATGACCTTTTGTTAGTGGCACACGGCACATTCAGTTAACTAATGCTGGTGGAGTATATTTATTGAGAGTAAGAAATAGCATGAAGCTTGACGTTAAACATTATTTATTTATCATATTTTAGATTGTAACTTATTAAGTCACCTTGGAGTAGTCTCCAGAAAAAGGCTTCAATGAATAAATTCATATCATGTCCAGTCAGGGGTTCCGGTTCCGAAAGATAGCTCAGCCTACATACTTTACTTATCTGTTTTAGTCACCTTGTCTTCAAGTAGAAAGTGTATCAGGCTTCGTCAAGCATTTGAGTTTTGTTTATTTGATTATCAAGAAAAAGCTGTCAAGGATTTCATAAATTCGAAATGCGGCCGCCGGCTATTTCAGTGGGGAAATCAACTGTAAAGGGGGTCATTACTAGGATATCACTTCATCGTATTGTGCATATTGCGCATATTGTTTATATCAAAGGAGAGGGATCATTGTTAGTTGTTCTTGAATAATAGCTATGTAAACAAAGTGTTCAATATACAGAGTGATAGAGTGCAAGCTGTTGTGGCCGAGTCTTCGCACCATTTAAACATGTGCTCGTGGAATGCAATGCGGACTTGAAATGTAAAACACTGGTACACCTTGATCTGAGGTTTGGCTTGCGGCCAATTTATGATTCAACAATTAGATCTTACCGACTTCAAAATTACAACAGCGATATTATATTCGCACTTTTTAAGGTCAATCGATCTGTGATGGTAAGACTTGAGGAAACTCCACATGGGAGTAGGTCTTACCGACCTCAAGATCATGACTGCAGCGAGTAATTCATGGAAAGCTTCCATTATAGTGGTTAGATGTGAAATCTAACTCTGGAATGATAATTGAGGATCAGCACATAAAACAATTTGAAATGTATTAACACTTGCCAATAAAGAAGCGAAGAGCTTGGCTAAGGGAATTTTGGAAATGATTTGGAATTGTGGAAAGAGGAAATTGCATTCTATTTAGGCAAATTAGAGGGAACCAAGCGATCTATAAGCCAAGGGCAAGCAATACCTATTCTTCTAGTCTAGCCCATATTTGGCTTGTAGTAGCGGGAGTTGATCAATCTCTCTTCGGCTTGCCCGCCAAAGATAGGATGTGAGGTATATCTGCTTGAAGCTTTTGCTATCCATGTTTGCTTCCATCTTATTTTGTTATTGGTTATCCTTGATTTCGCTCTAGTCATTATTCATCTACTCTTCATGCTTTGATTTGTAGCTCTCAAGTTACTCCCACCGAATTTGCGCAGTGTTTCATCCCATCAAATATCATCAACAGCAAAGAAAAGCACTGCAAGAGGAAATAATTCACCTCGATTCACGGCTCAAATTTCAACTTGTGCTAAATATCTGCGCACTCATAGTGGAGATACTGCACCATTTCAAAATGGCTAGTCTCATAATGAGAGATCATACATGAGCTATCGCCTGCACAGATCGCAAGCCATGCCTTCACCAATCATGAACATAATTTTCACAGCTGGCACATGCCATGATCTGCTAGTCCCAAAAATTCCCCAACCCTCAACCCTGCTTGCTTTTACTGGTCTAATATTTTTACAGTGGCATAACACCTCCATGATTATAAAAAGAAACCCGGATGCGGTATTTGCTCGCTGAATTGTTGAATGGGCAAGCTAATGCCTGATAGATTTCCCCGTCCTTGATGCATCATTCCCTCTGCTCCCCGACTGGCCCAAGAATGTAGCTTTCCATCAAGCTTTTCACCATCAAACAGTCCAGCCTTTGCATTAAGTCTTCCAGCAGATTCCTTTCTTCTCTAACGCCATATGCCTAGCAACGCAGCAACCTTTTTCAGCTTCCTATCAAGTATTGCCCTCCGGACTACTATCAGCCAATCCCCAACCAGCGAACGTTCGAAGAGACTACTGACTGGCACATTCTGAGAAAACATGCCATCGCCCCTTTATATTACTATATTGAAGAGTGAATCTAATTTGTCCCGGAGGGTGATACTTCCCCGCAAAACGCAGCTGATGATACACACAACTTGAATGAGGCACTTCAGCGCTCATTTCCTTCATTCCTAAGAGTAATTTGACGGCCATGGCATCTAATACATATCACTACATAATTATTAGATACATCTTCAAACTTCAATGCTCCTTACCAACAAGCGTGTCTTCATTCCTTTCCACGGATGGTTACAGCGATTCGTCCAAACATCACGAGCATTGAGCAGCAATACCAAGACATGAAATTTGAGAGCAGCATTGGCGTGATAAAAAGGAATTAGAGGAGCAACTTTGTAGATATAACTCTGTCTACGAAGCGAGAAAGTTGAACCTAACTTCAAGTCACACAAAGCGACGTGCAGTATACTTGAATAGAATTCCGCAAACGAGAGCAACGTAACAGGAGCTGTGTCCATGTTTCACACTCCAAATTTCAACGACTGCTTAGATCTTTGAGTCAAAAAAGAACGTGTCAATTTCTGCTGCTGAATTGTGCACGCAGGCTCATACTCCAAGCCGATTCTGTGTACCCGCTTTTTTATAGCCTATTATTTTAAAGAGCTGTTGCCCATGGCTTAAGAGCAACAGGGCTCACTTCATCCTCTATAACACAACATATTACAGCATAGAAAAGCAAAGCGCAAAAAAAGACTGGGAACTACCCATCCAACATACATTGCCTTACCGGATCCAGCCAGGCCCATGAAAACTTAAGGGCATTATGTATCAAAGACTCCGATACCATCGAACTTTATCTTTGTGATTACAGATGCTTCAAGCAGGGCGATGATCTCAAGATCCCCGGTGAGAAGGAATTACACTCCCAAAGAAGAAATGACTATGCTTAGGCATTAATACCACAGTTTCTTCGTAGACACTACGATAGTGGATCACCCTCACCTAAGTTTCCATAAGAAAGCATGAATTTCTCATTTTTTTCAATTCCTTCCCTTTCACCCAATAACTCCCAAGTCAGCTTCTTTGAAAACCAAAATTCTATGCGCAGATGATCTCGTGACACACGCACAAATCCCTCCGGATCCTCCTCAGATGTTTCTGCCGAAAAACTCTCTTTCTTCATTTTGATAATAGCACGAGTTTCCACCCGCCTTCATTGACAGCCCCAAGTCTCTCTCCATAACAGTAAGTGCCAAAACCTATCTTTGACCCCAAGCTCGCCCCAGTGATAGCAACCCTGAGCTCCCCATCCAATTACTCCTTAGTATCCCATCACTAGGATATTGTCTAGCACATCGATCTGCCGGTAAAGAGTAGCACCTAATAAAAGATCCGTTCGCGTAGTATTAGTATTCCCTAGACTATAGTTCTAATTATATACCTTCAATTCAGCCACCCACCCATAAATCCTAACAAGAGTCTGACTTGCTAGCAAATATTAGTTCTCTCAAATCGACAAAGATTGTACATTAATAGAAATGTTGATGTTCATGATCGAATGTTGCTCCTTCTCCCTCCCCCCCACGGTCCCCCACGCCCAACAATCCTTCCCCTCTTTCCGTCATCTCTACCTTCCCACTATAAGTATATACATTCTCGTACTCATTATCATTCTCATTGTCACTCAAACCCTCCTTTCCTTTAATTGCTTGTCCTGCTTAGCCTAGCGTAGTAAATACATAATCTCCACTTGTAAAGTCAGCTCTTATTTGTTATCCGTGATGATGATGAATTTCTGATGCAATCGTGTATCATTGATCCTCCAGGAAGCCACTTGAATGGCAATATAAAATTCGCTTGGAACATCTATACATCGCGCATCACGATGCAGTCTCAATCGATTGCTTCTCTAGCTGTGCCGCTCAATCAGCAAGACCTGTATAGTGCATATTCTACGTCAGGTACAATTTGCAAACTAGAGATAGTACCGCATCACTCACATCACATGCCATAACCATACATCACATTCACATTGACAGCTGAGAGACATTCAAATATGGCAGACAAATCCATTCATATCAAGTCGGCGACTTCGCCTTTCTGACCTAGGTATTTATCTATTTCCTTCAGTTTGGAGTGGTCGCTCAACTAAGTCAACTCACTGAGGAAATAGCCATCATTCGAATCACTTGATTCCCATCTCTTCCTCCACCATCTCATATACCCAACCCCGGGCATGCCTTCTGCATATTTCCTCCTATGATGATGATGGTCAAAAGCTCATCACTAAGACAAAGGACCCAAATCGGTCGATCATTGCCAAAGCTTTACATATTATAAAACTCCTCCTTCCTTCCTCCGCCCACCGGCCATTCCGTCCGTTCATTGCGTCCGGCATCCGCCCATTCATTCCCTTTACCCCATCAATCCAACCACCCAACCTCCCACTCCAAATACAAGATTTTCGCGGTGAAAACAATTGATCCATCTACCAACCACGTCATATTGTGCATGTCGTCCATCCCATCGTCAGTATCGTCATCCATCAGAACATAAAAGAAAATTGAAGACCCGGCATGCATTCTTCGCTCAAAACCAGCAGAAAAAGTGCGACAGAAACGTGATGGTGTAAGGGGTATTGGCGCGAGGTAAGGGGACAAAGTTGCTGTGTTGGTGATAAGGGGATCTATTAATACAAAGTAATGTGTTGATAGTGCTATGGTAATGTCGGTGCTGAACAAATGGGGTGTGGGGATCGACAGTTCCTCCTCTATCATATCGGGTGATATGATTTTCCGTTGTCGGTAGAGGTAAGTGTAATTATGGAACAGGGCCCTTTCGATTATCAATAGACGAACGAATGGGCAGACAGGTCCTGCGGATTCGATGCGATGTAAAAAACGCCGATGGAACAAAGAGACCAACGTTAGCCGAGGACAATACTCCTCAGTAATGGCCAGACGTTGTTAAAAAAAAAAGAGAGAAATCATAAGAAAAGAATAAGATAGATATTGGTTGAGCTCTATCGGGGATTCATGCGTCGGCGTAGGAACCGACATTGAAAGGTGTATAAGGACGCCTTTGACCGTCGAAATTTTTTATCAAGTTTGAATAGTTCCTGCGCTACCACCAGTTTGACGCTTGACTTGCTCGCGAGCCCATCGTGCGGTATCGATGGTTCTAGTTTGGAATTCTCTGTTCGACTTGGTCTCCTTGATCATTGACATGACCCAATCGGCACGGTAATATGAAGAATACTCTCCATTAGGGAAAGCATCAGCAAGATCACTAGGACGGTTAGTGTACGTGAGAGAAGAAGGCATATAGTGATGAGCACATACCCAATGACACCCATAGCTGATCTCATAAGCGCATCACTTCGGTGTTGATCGACCCAGATGGTGTTAAGAAGGCCAAAGATCGATTCAACGTAAGGGCGGAGCAGATCATCTGCATTATATTAGTGCTATCATTTCACGACATCGATCTAGTGACTTACTCTTGTTATCCATCTTCATGGCACCAATGATACCACCCCAAGCGTCCATAATGCCTTCCCTCAGAGAGATGACATAATCAAACATCTCATAGGATCCATCGGGACTAGCTTGAACACCAGCTGCTTGTTGAAGAACTTGAGCAACGACAGACAAGTAAGTCTCAAAGTGGCCACCAATAGCACCTGCGATATCTCCAAAACATTGGAGAATGGCAGGCTTGAATTGGTTGGCAAGTGCTGTACTCTGTTGATTTGTTAGATTCGACATGAATTTGACGGGGTTAGGGCATGGTGGTATTCCCCAATCCATGAAAGGCAGGATCGATATCTTTAGAAAACATACCCTCAAATTGTTCAATAAATAGTTCATAAATGTGTCGCAATATGGTTGGCATGGTGGGCCCATTGAGCGGGTAATATCACTAACGAGACCGATGGCCATGGAGCACAAGCTTGGCTCTTCCTGATTACCAAGAGCATTGTAAAGGAATGGGGCGAAAGCCTCCATGTAGTTCGCGAAACCTTCCTCGAGAGCATTCGCCAGACTGCTGACAGTGGCGAAGACTGCATCAGGAACGCTCGATTTAGGTCCACATGCGCTGAGAATTTGAAGTAAAATGGTCATGATTCGGTCAGCTTGAGGAGTAACCTCTTTCTCGAGACGTTGAATGATAGCCAGCAAGACGGTCGACAAGCTGACTTGGATCTCCTCGAGAGTGATTCTGTCTTCCACGCTGACAACTTGAGACTGAAGAGGAAGAGTACTTTCTAGTCTCTTGATTATAACCTCAGAGAGTTCACCGACAGATGGAAGACTGTCATTGGCAGCATTCATGACGAAGGTGTTAAGGACTTCATATGCGGCTGTTCTTAATGCGTTATCAGCGTCGGGTCTCTCGGTAACTTGAAGAAGTCTCGAGATGCTCTCGTTGAAATGCGGTGAGATAGGGTTTTCCTGGCATCCAATATCTCCAGAGAAGCGCTCAGCAAGGTTCATTAAAGCCCAACAGCATGAGCCTGCCATCTTAGGACTGCTGATGAGACCTTCGAACAAAGATGCGATCAACTTTGGCAAGTGAGTAGCTGGGTCGATAGCCTCTGAGCAAGCTTCAGTAATACGACCAAGAGCATAGGCTGCCGAGTCCTTAACATGAATGGATTTATCATCCATCATGCTAATGATAACAGGAAGTGCTTGTTTGACGATTGGCTCAAGTGTTTTCTCGTCCGGTCCTTCCATAATGGCGCCGAAAGCGGAGACAGCAGCATCACGATCATGCCAATCCTCTCCACGAAGCTTTTGTTCAACAAAGCTCAAAACAGGTTGGATAACTAAACCACCAACTGCTTGTGAGTAAAGTTGTAAGCATTGGTATGCGGCACGGGAGATGTTGTATTCATCATCAGCAGCATCTTCATCCTGCTTTGTCAAAAGCATCAAAAGAACGGGAACAACCTCATTAGTTGCAACCTTGCTAAAATTGTAAAACGGTCGCATCAAAGAAACTTCTTCAACCTGTCGTATTGTCAGTGTAACTCCTTTAGGGTATCTGAGGTCTTATAATCTTACCTGGGCATTGTCATCCTCAATGGCGATCTCCTCCTCACAGACTGTGCTCCAGAATTCAACGGCAAGCTTAGCTACATCTTCCTCTTCGCTCTTCATTCCCATAATCGTAAGTCCAAAGAGGGCCTTCTCCATGTAAAAGCGCATCAAGTCATAGTACAAAGACATGATTCTGTTGAGACATCCAAAAGCACCCTGCTGTATCCTTGAATCGGTAGCTTGTGTGGCCTCGCAGATGACCTGCATGATATAGTTCCGCTCTCCCTCATTCTTGAAGTTGCTATCCACAAACTCCAACGAGTTGCCAAGAGCATCGATAGCTGCTAGTCGTACTTCCAAATTTGGTTCTTCCTTTCGGGCACCTTGGACGACTGCTGTCAAGATAGCATTAGAATGCTGTACGAGGCTCTGTCTCAGTTCCGCATCCTGAGTCTCGCAAATAAATCCCAAAGTAGTCAAGGAAGCCTGCTTGAGATGGTCGCTACCCTCTCCCACATTTCGCACCAAAGCGGGCATAAGTTCTGGCCATTGATCCCTAGGCAGTTCGATGGTTGCTATCGAGGATATAACTTGTGCAGCTGTTTGACCGGCTTGATTATTGTTTGAGGATAGAGCTTGAAGAGTTAGGTCCTTCACACGCTTCCTAGTCTCTGGTTCGACCTGTAGCCATTTATCTTGTAACTCGCGTTGCAGGGCATATTCGCGGGCTGTGAAGGCGTTTTTGAGGGCGATACCAGCAGCAGCTCGGACGGAGCCTTGTGCTTCTTCATTTGCTAACTGTTCTACAAGCGTGACGAGATATCCTGACTACGTTGAAGGAAGGAAATGTCAGTAAAGAAGGTCATGGAAACTCATCGATGGTGCGGTCAAGGCTGTGTGGGGAACTCACAAAGTTTGCTTCGGCAGCTTGGGTGAGCTGCTGTTCAGCAGCAATACGGGTAGCATTGTCTATTGATAGTTAATATAGTGATATTTAAGAGTCCGTTCACCTTTGAGACAAATGTGGTGGGTGGAGGGGAAGTACCGACCTGCCGCCAAGGAATTGAGCAAGACAGAACCAACGTCCATCTTTGCAATTTCCCAAGAGTATAAAGGTGTTTTTGAAGTATTTGTATTACTGTCAAAGAGTTATTTCTATCTCTTCACAGTATAATTGTTTCTTGATGTGCGTAAAGGTGGTTGAAGAAATTCAACTGGGGGTTTTGTTGATCGCAGGTGGAATTTGCGGTTGTTGAAGAAAGCGATGTTGACTTTGGGTGTGGTATTGACAAGACCGATTTCTTTGCTAGATAGAAAGAGTAGCTGGACTACAGAACTATAGTCACTGGTAGTCTCTAGTAAAGGAAGAAAGATTATTATTTTTTCTAAAGATCTTGATAACCTCTCTTGATCTTGTGGAAGTATTGAGTAAATGAATGTAGAGAATTAACAGTTCTTGTCAATAGAGAGAATTTTTAAAAGTCTCTGGATTGTTTAGAATTTGATGTCCAAAGTCAAGAAGTCTAAATTTCCTCCTTGATCATTAATGGAGCGGTGTCCCCGCTGCGGCTACTTCTTATTGGTCCGCTTAAGTCTACTGTCAATATTTCACGTGATTTTGGTAAATCTCACATGGAAATATATACTGTAACGGTAATAGATAAAGACAGTCAAAGTCAATTAATCAATACATGCACTAGATCATATTTTTTTCTTCATTTGCATACAATACTATTTGAGAAATACCTAGATATATTCTTTGATATAACTAGGTACAGCTATTGATATAATATATTATTTTGAATAAAAAGAAAACACTTTTCTTTAACTAGGTATCTCTTGATGATCATGGTTTTTACAATTTCTTTTACAATTTCAAATGTACTTTTTGATCGCTTTTTCATATATCCTTTCCATGAATGCCAATCAAACCCCATCCCTGAAAAGATGCGCTAAAAAGCTACCCCTCATTTTTGGCTACGAAAGCAGCCTTGTGATAAGTAGAACAACGAAAAGAGAAGCCCGATTTATGCATCATTAACTTTTGCCTCCAAAACACTCACCGCATCCGGTCCACTCTTTGGTGCTGCAGTAGGTTTGGGAATTACAAGACTGGCGTTTTCTTTTGCCGAGCTATCAAGCTCGAGGTCACGGCTGGTGCTGGTACCATGCCTACCCTTGAAGAGTAGCGGTGTTGAGGGTCTGCTTGCCATGAACTGTAGTGTCGTTAGATATTTTCAAATGAAGGGTTGGTATTAATAGGCGACTTACGTTTGAAGCTGCACTCAAAAGAGCAATCAAAGAAGATTGGACCACATCCTCATGAATTCCGACACCCCATACCTTCTCCTTAGAGCCTGAAGCTGTACATTCAATGTAAGACGCAGCTTTAACATTTGTTCCAGCACCAACTGCATGCTCCTTATAATCTGCCACCTCAAGATCAATACCTAAGCTCTTCAACGCATTTGCCAAACTAGAAATCGGTCCATTTCCTAATCCCTTCAATTCATGTTCTTTTCCATCGATAGAAATGACACCTTCAAATCGACGCTTTAAGTTCGTCGTATCTTGCGTCTTACCTGGAGCGGGAGGCACAGGCGAGGCACTTCTATGGGTACTGATAGAGTAATCAACAAGACTGAATCTTGGATTGTGCTTGAGGTAGTAGGTCTGCTCGAATAAATCTTGGATTTCGCGCGAAAGAAGTTCGCGACTGAGTTCATCAGCACGTTTCTGAACCACTTTGCTAAAAGCAACTTGTAATCCCCTCGGAAGATCAAGCTCAAGGTTTCTTAAGATAATCCATGCGGCTCCACCCTTGCCACTTTGTGAGTTGACACGAATGACAGCTTCGTAAGTACGACCAATATCCTGAGGATCGAGAGGAAGATATGGCACTTCCCAGCGATTCTCATCTCCGTGCCCCCCCTTCTTTCGAAGTTGGAAACCCTTTTTAATTGCATCCTGGTGAGAACCGCTGAATGCACATACGACCAACGAGCCCCCATAAGGTGCTCTTGGGTGAACTGGGATCTTGTTGCTGATTTCAACAACATCTATCACTCGTTCGAGATCCGAGAAATCAATCTTAGGATGAATTCCTTGGGTGTAAAGATTCAAGGCTAAAGTAACCAAATCCACATTTCCTGTTCTCTCCCCGTTCCCGAATAAACATCCCTCGACTCTGTCCGCACCAGCCATCTGTGCCAACTCCGCAGCTGCAACGGCACATCCTCGATCATTATGTGGATGTAAGCTGACGCAAATCTTTTCTCTCTCTGTGATATTCCTGCAGAAGTATTCGATCTGGTCGGCATAAACATTGGGGGTCGACATTTCGACTGTAGCAGGGAGGTTGAAGATGATTGGATTCTCTTCGGTAGGACTCCACGCCTCCTTGACTGCTTCGCACACCTTAATCACGTATTCCGGTCTGCTGTCCGAGAAGGTTTCAGGACTGAACTCGAAAGCCCACTCTGTACCGGCGTGTTCGGGATCATCTTTTGTAATAGATCGAGCATACTTAGCACACCTAACTGCCAATGCCAAACCCTCTTCCTCATTCAAACCGAACACAATTCTCTGGAAGCACTCGCTAGTAGCAAGGTAGATATGTAAAATGGCCTTCTTGGCGCCCTTAAGGGAATCAACAGTTCGCTTCATGAATTCTTCACGACACGGTGAGAGAACTTGGAGCCAGACATCATCCGGTACGGCACCAGGAGTTTCCACAAGGCGCCTGGTGAAATCGAAATCTGTCTGCGAAGCAGAAGGGAATGAGACTTCAATCTCCTTGTAACCAAGCTCCACCAACATCTTAAAGTACTTCCACTTTTGTTCACCATCCATAGGGTCGACTAAGCTTTGATTGCCATCTCGTAAATCTGTGCTAAGCCATCTTGGAGGTTTGTCGAGAGTTTTCGATGGCCATTGTCTATCAGGCAATTCAATGGGAGGAAATCGCTTGTATTTCGTCGAGGGATCTTGAAGCCTGTGATCAATTCAAAGTCAGCATTTGCATTTGAGAATTTAAGAAGTTTACTTTGACTCATCCGTATCGATAACTTACATGGGCATTTTGACGAAATCGCGGGGTTGATGGGATAATTTTATGATTTTGCTTTTAAAACTCTCCGCTTTGCAATTGATAGTTGTTTGTTCTTTTACTGTTTAAGAAGAGCAATTAGAGAAACAATTGAAGTAATTCTGTGTAAAGAATAATTCAAACAAAATAAATGGGATTTTATAGTATTTGTAGATCAGAAGATATTGAGTCACAATCAGAGAATTATCACGACCAGCACCGGTTTAGCAGGGAATGAATGACTCTATTCCATTAACCCGTTTGTGGGGCGAGGGGAAATTCTGAAATTTGACCAATTAAATCTATGCCCGGAATTGGACCTTGAATTAACCATTCTCTTTGTGAAATTTAGACCCTCATCAGCCTTTGATTGGATATAAATAAATATACTCTTCATATTAAATGGGAATCTACCTCGATATACAGTATCTATTTAGACATAAATCAGTACAAATCTACATCAATATAAATCCACATCAATATACATCCCTCAATCAACAACATCAAGCCTCGAAAACCCCACCGCTCCCTACACTCGAAACATGAAGATATAAACTCCCCTTCCACATATTCTGCCTCCACGGCAGTGGCTCCAGGAGGGCCAGCGGAGCGTCATTCAATATGACATATCGATCTATGCATGAGGTCAGGAGATGCATACAATAATGCATCTCTAAAACCGTATATACACAGCGATAAGAATATAAATACCATCAATTGCTCTCTATGCGACATAACATGTATGTATCTATTCTCGCAGTGCGCAATTGTCGAGAAAGAGGAACATTGCTAAGGTCTTTCCGGAAGTCTAGTCAATGAATGAGCCGAGTCTTTCGTACAATGTAACACAACACAACATGATGTTAATATGATGGTTACTCTTTATTAGGTATCGCATTACAAGCATCACAAAATACACAACCGTCACAGCATGCAAAATCACTTAATCCGATAACATCACACAAAATTATCAGTAGTTTAAACGATTCCAATTACAAAAAAGGCACCTAACTGTAGACAAACGACTATCCTATCCGCGGCAGTCAAATCTCTAAATACAATCCTAGGCAGATATCCTAACTCCCCGCTAAAAGCGAATCTAATCTTCCATCTTGCCTATTCTAACTCTTCTAGAGTTTTTTCTCTCGTCTAATCATGATATGATTTATATACAACTGCAGCGTTGTGGTCTGGTCTGGTCCCGTAGTGTAATACAAAGCTTCCATCCGCAAAAAATGTTACGTTTGAGAATCGAAGAAGAAATTATCAATGACCAACCACCTGTTTTGCACTATTTGACTTGCCATCTCATAGGCTTTATGACCTTTCCTTCGGATTCCTTATGGTTCGTGTTTGAAATGTATGTGGGAATGTGTCTCAAGGACGAATGCATTCTTTACATTACCAAGTAAAACTCTCCTCGATGAAATCTACAACCCCATGTTCTTGGACTTCTCTCACTGCTTCTCGTACGCTGTCTTGTAAGGCTCCTGGTCCACAAACGGTAACGCACATGGCGCCCACTTGTTCCCTGACTTCAGCCTGTAACAATAAATTGATGTTCGGTCTACCAGGTAACATTTGCACCGTCGCACTTGGAGAATGAATCTCCTTTGGATTCTTAGGTTTCGTGACAAACAACTTAATAGTAAGAATATCGCGACGTCCTTGCATACGCAGGATTTCGTCCATCCACGGTCGCACCCACTCAAGATGCTCGACGTCACGGATGATCCAGACGAGAAGGACCTTCTTGGTGGCGATGGTACCGTCGTTGAAGCCTTGGATAAGGTGTTGAACATAGGGGATTTGATGGGTGATTCCGGAGGAGCCAGCGAAAAGGACTGCATGACCGTAGGAATCGAGAGAATGATGTCCAGCATATGGCCCTTCGAATGCAGCTTTCAGTGTCAGTGCACTTGGGCTGGCAACTTTGGCTGCATCGAAAAGACGGCGAGTCAAACCAGTTTGCGCATGGATGACGAAGCTGATATCGGTCGTTTGTCCTTCTCGAACGAGTTTCTTCTCATCAAGTGGGAGCTCCGAAGTGAACATTGGGCGATGAGCGACCCAAGCGATTGAGAAAGGATGCGACTCCCAGAAATTTAGCTTGGCAAAACGGAGATAGGCGTGAGAGCCGGGCTTGACGTCCAGTTTTTTGGGTAGGTGCATGGTAACACGGCAGGCATCTCCGGGCATGGCTTCGATGGTTGCGGTGGTCCAGCCCTTGGTACTGTAGTTGCACCAGGCGAGACGTGCCATTCTGCACACGCGATCAGCGACCCACAGAAAGGCGACGGCGCGGATATAAGGTTTTTGGGGGAGATCTGGAATGTCACAATGAATCCAAACACCGGCAATGGCAACGGCCGCGAAGATGATATGAAGATTGAGGAATGTTTCGTAAAACGCGTGGCGAATCGGCGATGGAGATGTGAGGAGAAGGAGGACAAAAGCAATGGTACCCATCATTCCATAGGAAGAGAATGGGTCGTGCAAAAGCTTGTCCCAGACCCCGGAGAAACCTGTATCCGCGTATTGGACGTATGCCCAACAGGAGGTATGTACAAGAGCCTCCAATACGACTATCCTTCCCATCCATCGATGCAATAAGTTGTAGGTATCGAAACTGATTTGAAGCCACCCAATGAGGGGATTGTTGCGTCCGGCAAGGATGATTAGTGCAATCATGTTACATACAGCGAGAACACCAGATCTTCCTCGAAGCTCGGCTACGATAGAATACTTGTTCTCTATGTTGTAATCAAGGACCAACGTGTAGGCAATGTTCATCGACAGGTAGAGGATCAGGAGTAGTGCATGCCATCTTGACGGAAGGGTTCCCATATTAACAGCTGACGACAACTTGAACTCTCTATTGTGACGTTTACTCCATAACGGGGCATACAACAAATGTTTCTTGACTTTCCACCAACTGGATCTGTTTTCCTGGAAATATCTTTGTTGATTCGAGTTGCTATTCATCCCTGTCATATGTCGTATGTGTGACTGCGCCCTATGCATGATCCTGAAGACAAGGATCATCAATGCCATTATTCCTAAGCACCACCATAAAACATCTCGTAAAAGATCATTGACGCCTTGGTTGACTCCATTCAAATCTTCGGCGTACATTCCTATAGTGTTGCTCGGTGTTGCAGCTGCTTCTGTTGTGGTTGCATGCTGTAAACTTGTGGCGGTGGTTGTGGTTGCAGTGGCTGCTTCGGCGACCCTGCGCAAAACATCGAGGGACTCCATCCCGACACAATTTATTCTTTTGTCTTGTTCGTCTCTGAAACGAATGTAAAAAACAAAATAAAAAAGAATACTCTGGTTATTGTTTGAGATAATGTAGAAGTGCTTCTGTGTAAAGCTATCTAGAAACTGTTGGTTTGTAAATAATTGGGTTTGGTATATGGTCGTTGGGTCTATGGGATTCGAAATTCGAATTTTGTCCGTCGAGGGGAAGGCTTACTTACAATAAAACCTGAGGTCTGTTGTCCGATTGTTCTAAGATTGGTCTCTCTCGTTGTGTTGCTTGGCACTTGTTGGTTGTTTGTCTATTGTTCTCGATCTGTGAACAAAGTGATATAATTTTTAACAAGGGACATGCTGTGAAAGCTGGGAGAGTGAGTTTCCTATGTTCTTGATATAAAAGAATGATTCAAGAATAGAAATGATATATGATTGACGGATTGTTGAATGATGTTGCAATTGGTGTCCGAGTAATAATGAATGTGAATGGGAGAAATGATTGGAGAATCAGGTATTATTAGTCTCCAGGACTTATGAAAGCAAAATCCCCAAATAAATTTTGAATGAAAGAGTGAATAAATCAAAAATTGACTTTTTGTTCGACGAGGACGAGGACGAGGACGAGGACCAAGCAAGACCAGGAGCCAACGACAAAGAGATGGCGATAAAGAGAGTTGATGTATATTTTTGGTACGGGCTAGTAAGGTAGATAGATGTAGACGGGATGGATGGGAGGTAAGGTTGGTTACTTTCTCTGCGCTGCGGGGATCCCTTTTCGAATACTTTGGTGGGTCTTCTCGAGTAGCTAGACAAGCAAGGTACGCACGCCGTACCCGTAGACAGGACCAATCTGAGGTTTTGGTAGCGATAGTCGCGTACGCCGTAATGTTTTTAATGGTGGATACGACACCGGCGGTTGAGCTTGAGCGCGAAAGTTATGAATCAGATATATTATTATGATAGTCCGTACCGGGACTCGATATAAAAATTTATCCAGATAGGGAACGTGGGCCTGCTTGGTAAATGATGTCGCTGCAGGGTTTATCAGCACATTTTTGTGAATAGCTTCCACCTTCGAAACAAAAGCCCTGCTCTCCGTCGTAATACACAGTCCAGGAAGACCAGAAAAGAACATTCATCCCCCGCTCCGTCAGAGAAAGTGGTAATTCTGATGAAACAAAGGTTCTTTTTAAAGTGGGTGAGGTGCTGAGCGACCAAGTGAGTTTGTTGATGGACAGAAGATGAGTACGGTACGAGGAAACAATCCGATTTCATCAATCAATAGAGATGATTGACTGATACAGCCAGTGCATATGATAACTAGGTACGGAGTAAGTCTTACTAGGTAGGGACATGGGACACGCATTTCCAAGTCTCTCTAATACCGTATCGTATCGTATCGATGGATGGATGAATCTCCTCCCTGCAATTAGACTCTCTGCCTGCATCCTGCTAATAAATCCCATTGACTAATCTCGTTCTTGAGTCCTGACGAGCCGAAGGGATTGAACGGGTAGGACCTGGGAAATGGTCCACCTGCGTCCAATCCCTTGGCCGTCACTTCTTATTGCCGTCACACAGCATTTTTGGGTGAATGAGAGATAGCCGCAGTATATGCATATCTCATGCCAGGTTAAAGCCATAAACTGACTCTTGGGCGTTTGGAATGGGACCGAACATGGCCCCGTCATTTAATGAACATAATAAGCATTTTATCTTTCGTAGGCTAGTGGAGATCATGGAATCCTCGTATCTGCAAATTTACACGAAGGTGGAAAAAGAAAAAAGAAAAAAGAAAAAAGAGTTGATCTCCAATGAATTGTGGCTGATGATAAAGACAAGAAATCACAGAATCATTGGTGAATGAAAAGGTAGACCAAGGTGAGGAAAGGTAACACCATCGAAGCAAACACCAGGATAACCCATTCCAATTGGTCTTAATGTTTCGAAACTCACTCAGGGGAGGAGCGAAGGGGGGGTTACTTCAGGGGTAAATATAGACTGACGCTAGAGATGAGATGATCAATTTTATCCCGATTCCCGACAGATCTTTGGAAGAAACCTTAGTAAGCAGATTTCCAAGCCTACCTAGTCTGAGAAGGGACGGACGGATATGAGATTAAAAGGCCAAGTCGAAACGCTTCAAGGGGAAGGTTCAAAAGACGTTAAAGCTTGAAGCAGGTAGGTCCTCGGTAGTAAATCTTACTTTGTCGATACGGAGGTACCTCTGTAGATAACATCATTCGTATGTCTCCGATGGGAAAGCGGCTGGTTATCAATGATCCGATCCATGATGAATTTCCCTTTTCCGACGGGGTCAATGAGTTTTCGTGTCTGTGAGTACAGAGCAGTAAGTTCTTACCTTCGTCTAAAATACACATTACCGGCAGCCACTCAGCCACTGAAGCTTCCACGAATTCAGAACCCGGTTCATAGTTGAGGCTGTTTTAGATACTCCATGGAATTTAATTTAACACTCGGATATCATCAACTGTTATCAGATGCATATGTTCATACCATTCAAGTCGTCATGGTTGCCCTCGATTGGCATGAATTCAGTTCGGGCGTGCACCAGCCTGTCACCAATGATCCATAATCAAAGAATTTCATGCGAGACTCAAGCCTTTCCAAAACCAGGATAGTGGACGAGGTTCAAATCGCTCCTTGCTGGCGACGGAGTACGGCAAGCATCCTTGGGTAAATCTATTTCATTCGAACCTTTCGTTTCAGTGTACAGCATGGTGTGAACTCCTGATCTTTTCCTGTTCCATGGGACTTCCAAGTACACCATAATGTAATCCATGCAAACCCCAGAAGACAATAACACAATCGATGGGAATCTCCCAAATAAAGGGCGTTATTACTGTACGTACCATTGAGTACTCGAGTACTTCAATTCGACTGAACCTTGGCCCAAATCCAGACTCCATTCATGTAGTCCGAGCAATGCAATGTAAAAGTACCACCGGAATACAAACCTTTGCAAACCCATTCCAAATTCCGCAGCCGCCGACCGAAATCCGAGCATCTCAAAGTAGAACAGCAGCAGGCGCCAAGTCTATCAAACAGAAACGCCCTTTAGTTTCAAGCCGCCAAAGTGGAAATAAAAGAATTCGCAAATTTTCATGAAATCCGACAAAGTCCGGGTACTACCTTGAGAATGCATGAAAAGAAGAGATGGACCCATTCTGTCAAAGTACAAGATTCACATCTCATAGAAAGTACCGGTAAAGGTTTGATTATCAGATTCATGTCAAGTTGTATATAAAAACTGGTCTCATGATCAGCCCTCGACAACACCAGGACGATCAATCTCAATAAACTCAAAAGATCATCCAAATCGGGCTTCACCCACATATGCATCATATTTTCCTGACCTGTGCTCTTCTTGAGTATGATCAAATAGATAGAAAGGGTTATCAAAATCTCCCTCCTTCCTTTGTAATGAATGCTCCAGCCACTTGCACCAGCCTCAATCAAACTGGGATCGGTCATGGGTAAACATACACCCGATGCAAGGCCACAAGGCGTTAATTCTTCCGATTTTCAGCGAACCTTGAGAAATTCCAAGCTCGTGAGGTCACGATTGTAAATTATATCGTTCAGGCAATTGACTCTTCCTCCACCAGTCAATATGGGATCTGGCGCTTCGAAACCTGAGGAACCCCCCAAGGCACAAGTATGGTCCAGGTAATTCTTCCAATAATCTACACATGTTTCTGCCGGCAAGCTCTGATATATCTGGTCTGGTAGTGAAACACCTGTGAGGTTCTCGGAACAACTTATAAATTCTTTGCAATCGAGTTCAGAAGTACACTCCCTCCTTTCTATATCTCTGAGAATGTAAATCTAACATACCCCAAAGTCCGATTCTACCCGCGCCAAAACCCTCGAACTTCACATCCAAGCCCGCGTCGCCAGCGAACTCAAGAAACTCCAAGAGCGCGCCAGTAAAGACTTCGAAGAACTTACCGCCAAACTCTCTACTGAAGAATCTTCGTCTCCATCGGAGGAGAAATCTGCAGGCGATAGCTTAAGACAATTGGGCAGAAACGCGGTCCAGAAAGATGTAGAGGGGTTGAGGAAGAAGTTGGAGCAGAGGAAGAAGCTGCAGGAGTTGGATGAGGAGGTTGAAAAGGCAAAGACTGAGGTGGTTAGGTGTTTGAGAGAGAATGACAGGAGGCCATTGGATTGTTACAAGGAAGTGGAGGCTTTCAGACGGGAGGTGAGGAGGTTGGAGGCTAAGTGGGTGGAGGGGGTCGTGAGATAAGCTGGGGAAACGTCCACATGGGAGGGGAGAAGGATTATCATACGGGGGGCTAAATGATGGGAAGAAATGAATGAAGGTGTCTACGGATCCACCGTGTACAGAATACGTCTTAACAAAAAGAATCCATGGCTGGAAGTTTGGTTACAAGATCGAGATGATGTGGAGTGTCAAATGCATCAGGTTTTGATATCACTATAATCCACAGGAGCAGCTGTGGTTCCCGGTGGAAGCTCCTCCGAGTCCTGATTCTCTATTTCCTCACTCCTCTCTTTCGCTTCCTTCAATTCTTGAGCTCTCCTCAAACCTTCTGCACGTTTTCGCGCCTTCCTAGCTTGAGAATCCTCCCAATCCTCGCCATTCTCTCCCACCTTCTTCTTCTCCATGGGATTCATTGCCTCTTTGAGTAATAATCTAAACCTCGCAATCCTTTTCCTATTCTCTTCGAATCTCTCATTCGAAATCCTCATCAATGTGCCAAGTTGTCCATTATCGACGACGCAAACTCCTTGGTCAATTGTTTCGTGAAACACACCAACTAATGATTCGAGAGTCAATCCCATACATCTTATTCCTACCATGGGAGTTGCTGGTTCTGAGGTGATGGATATTAGGTTCAATGCACCACTTTCCCGAAAGCCGGCTTGCAATGCAGCTGACAGCACTTTTTGCGCTTGATCTATTGATGCTGTGAGAACGTGTAAAATCTAGTCAATCATCAGTATTTAAATTTTGTGAAAACATGACAGTGCATACATACCATCGGCTCAAATTTAAAATGTATATGCCTTACATCTCTCTTCTTGTTCTCAGGAATGGAATTCGTGATGTTCCCCTCATTAATCTTCATACCCAGCAACTCACAAAGTGTCCCCTCATCTTCTAGCCTGCTTAATTCCCCAACACTAATGCGATCATGAGAAACATATAGCCATCTCCCACCTCCTCCTTTTCCCCCAAATCCAGCACCCTTCTCAGCCCTCACGTCCGGAATACCATCAATACCAGCTTCATCCTGCACCGCACTTCGGAAGTCATCAGAGCTCTTCTTCCCTTCAAGGAATACGCTCACTCGCCCAGCGCAACTACTAGTTGTGCAACAACCATCGAAAGAATTAATCTCGTCGATTAATTCTCGGATGCCTTCATCAACGGAACCTTTGGGTGATAGATCATCATATTCTTCTGTAGGAACAGCAAGTTTGCTTAATATCAGCTTTTTCTTGCTGATGAAAGATTGGGGTAGAGACATTTTGTGCATTCAATGTATATACCTCTCATGTGATGGAGGGGTTGAAGATATTGGTGGGGATTGTGTGGACCAAAAATCATTGGGTGTTGAAGCGAGGTATTCGTTAGTAACCGAGGATGTTCCGAGACAAATGGAATTGAACTTCACACTTTCATTTCTTCTCCCCTTTCTCTACCTTTCTCCAATGTCATAAATGTGATGATGCCTCTCACCCGTACTCTCTTAATCACCTACCGTCTGAAATCAGTTTTGTACTCGAGCCTACTATTCTTCAACTTAAATTTTCAAATATACTCTCTTCACATGCAGACATGGCATTCATGATCGGTAATTACACCTCCGTAAAAACTTATGGTGCTGGATTTGTACTATCTGAAATGGACAACTACAAAGGCTGCAAACATCAAGGTGTCATTAAAATGACCTCAAGAATAAGAGCAACCAAAGAAGAAACTTGACCCAACTCATCATAATCTCAAACCGAGTATCCCAATCAAATAACCTTTAAAAAAAAATCAAATTCTTTCAAATTAATACGCAAGTCCGCAAGTCCGCAAGTTATCAGAATTTATCGTCATCAGATAGTATGCAAGATCAATTCATGCAAAAATTTGACAATGCAGGTGAGACCTCCGTGCTGAATTTCTCTCGATAATAAGATCCCTTCAAAGTGCAAATAGAAGAATATTAACAATGCTGTTCCTTCAATGATATGACGGTACTTCAATGATTCCGAGAATGGCTTCATGGATCATCAAATTTTGGTGGTAGACAGATGTAATATGAAAAAATCGAAATATGAACAATCAAGGGCAACCGAGATTACGAGGAATCCAAGTCCAGCTATCACGATTGTTGAAAGGTTTCGAGAACGAGACTAACCATATATCAATGATTGCTGGGCGAAGATGTCGTGAAACGCATGATGAATTATTTCTGAGAAATGAAAACAGCTGCAAGGTCGTATGGAAATCAGAAAGGGAGTATGTACAGCTTAGTCAGGTCATGGATCTATCAGTTGGATGGACCCGCCTCTAAAGCGGGAGTAAGTGCTCGTCGAATGGCTGTCTCGAATGCTGCCCACTCCTTCCCAGCAAGCTCGGCAAGAGTCAAACTCAATGCATCAGTGTAATCAACGAGCTTGTCCAGATTGCCGAAGAGATTGGGAATCCGAGGAGTCTCTTCAGCTCTAGCTGCAGCCTTCTCAGCTAACGTAAGTTGCTTCTTATCTGCAGTGGCCCCTTGGATAAGCTTAATATAGTACTATTGTTACTTAGTCAGTATTTTTACTCAATCAAGGCTTATCCATCTGGATACTCACTTGAACAAGATCATACGCAACGTCCTTTCTTGGTCCAATGGTCCAAACATAGCTCCAGAGATCAGCTTGTGGAGGGACGCCAAGCTCAAGGGCGATTTGGGGGTCGATCTTCATTTGAAACGCGATGTTATCCTTCATGGTTGGACTGAAACCTTCGCACTTTAAAGCAGTCCGCCAAACTCGCTTCAACAACTGAGAGTTGAGATTAAGCGGATCATCATTACTTTCGACACGCTCGACAAGCAATGCAAGCAATTGAGTCGTAGCCTTATACAACAATGCACGATCTTGGCAAGTAATGTAGTTGACCATAGCCCAAGGAAACTTGATCAATGTGCTGACAAGGCACTCGAACGGTCGCTGGGGACAGTCCTTTGAAAATGGAGACTAGGAAACGTCAGTGTCATTTAAAGCCAGCAAGAAAAACCTGGAAACACTTACGCGCTGTGGAGACTCGACATGCTTGACCAACATCACCAATTCCTCACGACTGACGAAGCCCTGAAAACCGGAGTTGTACTTGTCATTCTCGTCACGAGCAATGATCTTTGGCTTACAACCGTGCCACTCCACATTCTTTGCCTTAGGGAAGAGCTGCTTCATCAACTCCTCCTGCGAAGACAACTCAACTTCTACATGCCGTTGACCAAGGCGGCCACCTCGCCCGCCGATGCGGTTCATATCAAAACGTTGAACGGCGTTCGCGGCCTCAGAGAAGCTGACGAATTCAACGTAGGCATCTAGCGTCTTGCTAGTAACACGCTCCATGATGATGTGGATAGGCTCATGGTCATCTGCTGCCGCGATTCTTGCATTGCGACCTAGAAATGCGAGGATTTCTTGACGAGTGACGCCATAGGGAATCTAGGAATGGATGAGCATACGTATTTAAGATCCGCGACATGGACTTACATTTTTTATTCTCATGACACCCCATTGAACTGGCTTCGATTGACGGCAGTACTCCTCAAATGGCATGAACCTCATTTCAAGAGCCTCATCAGCAGTTGGCACAGTGGTACCGTTCCGGGTCAACTCGCGAAGCAACGGACTCATACCACCAGCAACTCCAAAACGGGAGTTAGGGCTGAATGGAGTAAGAGTAGTAATGGGATTAAATGGATTAACGGTGAGGGGGCGTGGGGTAAAAGTGGGAGCACCCGGCATGCCATCATGGGAACCATTAATTGAGCGCTCAGCTCTTCCTCCATCGTAATGCAACATCTTGGGAGTATTTTCAGCAACAACCTCACTCGTGATAGAATTTTCGCGCGAAGAAGTTCCACGAGTCGGTGTATTTTGGACCCAATCGTTGACGTGCTGGGTACGATCTACCGAAGCGGTAATAGACTTTCCGCGACTGGACCGAAGCAAAGGTGTAAAACTAGGTCTTGGCTCGGAAGCAGTAGCAGAGACTGGGAGGTCGTTGGATGACACGGGTGATTGAATGCTGTTGCTGCTCTCTTCACTTGGCTGTCCTTGCTCACTTGGCAAATTTTGCTTTTGTGGTTGAGGCGTATGGACAACTTGTGGAGGATTACTACTGATAGCTGCTTGGACGTGGTGGCTAAGATCGGGGTTGGATACATGGGCTTTTTGCGCATGAAATTGCGGCTTTGGTGGAAGTGGATGGTAAATATTTCCAACAGATGGAAGCGAAGAATACTGTGCGTTGCGAGCACTAGCAGCAGTGTTGTTATTGTTCCCAACGGCCTGCAAATTTCCATTGGAGTGATTTCGCCCTAGACCATCATGGCCAATGTTATTCATGTCATTGCTATGACCGTAACCACCAATTGGATTGCCATTAGGACCAATGCTATTTGGACCCGTGCCTAGACTGAGGCTACTAAAGTTCAAGTTTGAAACCATATTTGAAGCTGAACCTGGTGTAGAATTTGTGCCGCGAAAATAGTTATTTCGAGATGTTGGCGGATACGGTGGAGCAGAATATGTCTGGTTGTATTGTGGACTGTATGAGTTGGTAGGAAATTGAGTAGCAATTAGTGGCAATTGTGGTCGCATACCCATATTCTGTTGTTGGAAGTTGCGTTGATCTGCAGCAGTACCGTGGCCATTGAAACCAAGCAGATTTTGATGCTGATACTGCTGATTTCCAGGATGACCATTGCCAATCTGAAGGTTTTGGGGGACTCCAACATGACCGTTGTAAGGCGGTGATTGATATGCATTATTAGCTACATTGAATCCATGCGGACCATTGACACCACTCATGCCGTTCATAGCGTTCATATTCATACCGTTCATTCCCATACCAAAGATCTCCTGTTGATACCCTTGCTGCTGCTGTTGCTGTTGATCTGGCATCTGATATCCATTCTCATGAGCAAAGGCTCCAGCAGAAGCACCATTCATGATGGAATTTTGATTAGCAAATGGTTGAAACTGAGCTCGAGCATTATGTCCATTATTAAAGTCAGGTGTAGCAAAAGGTGCTGGAGGTTCAGTAAAGGGACTTGGATCTGGAATGGCAACTGCACCATTATTCTCATACTCGGATGGTAGATTCCATGGAAGTGGTACTTGTGTTCTGAAAGAATCATTTGAGTTTGCAGAATCCTGACTGGTGTTTTGAAGACTTGAAAGAGACGGTGGGAAGCCATGGATGTTGTTGTTAAACTGAAAGGCATTTGGAGCTGGCTGGCCAGTGGGCAAATTGAAAGGAGCCATGGTTAGAGTTGGAGGAACGTTCCAGTTATTTGTTGAGCTAAGAATTTGTTGATAAAGAAAAGGCGATGTATCAACAAATGCGGATGGAGGTGGTAATAAACAAGCTTGAGGTGGAAGTGGAAGTTTTTAGAAGGATGGTGCAAGAGGGTTCAAAGAAAGCAAAGTTATTTGCACTATTGTGTACGAAGGATGAGCCACAGAATAAGAGGAAGGGGAAGAGGGAGAGGAGGAAGAAGAGGGAGAGGAAGATGATGGTGATGGTGATGGTGGTGGTGATGGTGAATAATATCGTGTATATTGCTCACTCTTTTTATGTAGTAAATTCGAGCTGTCGCTAGGGAGACCAATTTCCAATCTAGGATCGCTGCTTTGAAGAGTTGAAGAAATCGTCTCTTGACTATCCAGCTTTAGCCGAGAATGACAAGTATCAGAGTAGTCAAGTAACCAGCACTATATAGAACGAAAGGATGATGATGGTGATGATTTGGCAATGGTTGATGATATCTTTGGTGAAAAACAATCAATACTCTTGAAATGCTATGTGAAGTATATAAAGGGGGAAAAAGAGGATAGGGAAGAACTGTACTTGGGAATATATCTTTACATGTGGTGGTACAGCAAGCTCATCAAAGGTGAGCATGAGCTAATGGAAGCTTGGGGAGAAAGGATGGGGACTATAGAGAAATGGGAGATTATGGAAGATTGATGTATTTTGGGAATATACATAGAGGTACCTGGATGAACCTCGAAATCTATTGAAAATAATAATACTGCCGCTTGTACCAGCTCCATTGTGAATATATGCACCATCCCTCCTTCGACTCGTAAAGTAATAGTCAGCTACTTGAAAGGCCGACTATTAACTTGCTTACTCTCCTCATTGATATCAAAACTTGCATACAATGACATTTATCCGTGAAGTCTTTACTACCGTGATAAACAGGAATGGCCACTAGAATTCCTCTGATGTATGGAAATTCCGCATTCACTTCGATAAAGAGTAATATGAGGAAAAGATAAGAAACTCCTGTTTGGCTATGGTAATTAGCATTTGCGGATATTCCACTTCTCTCTATAGGTAGTTGTTTTATAACACTGATGACTATCAATTGTGAATAGGGCTTATTTCCCGGACACAGGATCTTAGAGGCACCATCATCAACAGAATTGCGTGTGTCAAGGAATATCCACCATTGTGCAATTATTTGTCTATTCTGTTTCTCTGCATGGCCCCGAGTCTCTCCAATTCCTTCTGTTGTGCTAGCTCTCATACTCTGCGGGAACTTGTAGAGCTAGATCTAGCGCTCTGCCCGCGTGTGAAATCTTCGAAGATTGGCATTGGACGATTGGCATTGTCCGGTTGGTAGCCGGCCGCAAGCATGATCAGTTTATTCAACAGTGTTATCCGTTTTCAACTATTCGTTATTTCGTTGATGCATATGGAACTTGTTTGTGAGGCACCTGCATGGAGAAATTTAGATCCTATGACCAGCTGATACTTGTTTCCTATGTACGGCCAGCTTCTTCCAGAGCACCGGGGCGAGAGACACGGATCTACGCTCTCTAATCGCGAAGAAAGACAATTGATAGCCATGATGAGATCTAACCACAGCTATTTTAGTTCTAATTCATCTTTACGAGACCCATGCACTTTTACACACACTTTTACGGACTAACGGCGGCGGTTGAGTTGTCTTCCACTACTTGGATCAATAGTTCGAAGGTGTAATGAAGGCGAAATTGTTCGAAAATTTGATAAGAAGGCCCCGAACAATTTTGTATTTGTGAAAGAAAGCCAGTATCACATCAAATACGGATACAAGCAAACATATATGAACATTATTGTGTAGTAAAAAGAACTAAAGGCTTACTCTCCCTCAAGTCTTTAAATCACAAAAGCTTTACAACGCGGTTGTCAAGGGCCCAAAGTCTGTGATCAAAAATCTTTAGACGCTATGGTGGCTTAGAAAAGTTACAGACTCATTCTTCTTTCTCATTGCCCCAGGCTGTCCACTTATCATGTCTAATGGAACTCCTCCCAACTACCCATCTGCTCCATGTCTCCAAACACCCTGGTGTCTCAAGTGCCGCAACTTCAGCGACGAATTCCTTAAATATCCAATTCTTCAGCTCAATGGCTAGTAATGCATCAAGACTTCATATTTGCAATGGCTTGTGCCTATCAATGATGTGTCATCTTGCATGATTTAAAGCGATTTCGCTAGTTTCTTGCCTATGGCTTGCGTAACAATCTTGGCAGTTTCACCAAGTGATGCTGAAGTTGCTATTATTTCGCAGTATTTGGCCTGAACTGCAACTCGGGTTGGCACAGCTTGTCTAGTGCTCTATAAGACAATAGGCTACGGAGGAGGATCAAGAATAGTTGATACTCTCTGACCCGCCTTCGCCTTCAGCTCCAAGTCCTATGCGATCCTGGCTTTGAGTCGACGAAAGACGTCGCAGTGATGGGGTATAGTACTTCTCAAGTACAGTACAACATGTTTCGCAGTTGAATTTGTGGGCGCTAAAGCGCCATATGTGAGGACACGAGCCGAAGGCCATGTGTTGAGCTCGGCTAACACACCATCCGCCTCTCTAAAGGCGAGCAAGCTATATGCCTCGACCTTGGCATTATATAGTTGACGGTGCCGTGCTAAAGCATACTCATAAGTATTTTCTACGTTGTAATTGCCTTGTCCTCGCAGTGCTGCCAGCCCAGATGCGGGGCCGAGCATAATAAAAAGTCCATCCCAGAAGGTAGAACGGATTGTGTAATCCAAGGCCCCAATGACCTACATTCCGCCGTATGTTTCCAGCTATCGTCTTTCTTATGCTGGTTTGGTATTGATCGGAGGTAGGAAAGAACATCTTAATTTCACATTAGAAGGTCACAGTGGCCAGGTGCCAAACAAAGAAATGTGGGAAGATGTCAAAGGGTAGTAATTAGAAGGTTTATGGTGTTCATGGTTCTATGCGCTGGACTCCAATGCATAACACTGTGTGGGGAATCTGTAGTGCGCAAAGAGTTATTTTATTATTGTCGGCTTGCCGACACCAAAACCTTGCTGTACACATAGCATATCGCAATTTACCCGGTATAGATCATAGAAAATAAAAAACTTATTTAAATGAATCGTAATCCTGACAATCTGATTGGTCTAAAATACCCCAGTAAATAATCTAACAGAAAAACTTGATATAAAACTTACAATTTTAAACAAATCTGATTTAAAAAAAATTTCAACTTTATTGAAATTATTTAATTTTATTTATCTTATTTAAATAATAATAATAATAATAATAATAATAATAATAATAATAATAATAATAATAATAATAATAATAATAATAATAATAATAATAATAATAATAATAATAATAATCATAATAATCATAATAATCATAATTATAATCATAATTATTATTTTAAATCAAAAAATTTTATTTTTCAATTATCAAAAACAAATCGATATTCTATCTGCACCTTGATATATATATTCAATATTTAAATTTATTATAAACTTTTTAAAACTTGAATTTTCATTAGACTTTCTCGAAAAGCCAGGGGTCCGGGACGCCCCTGGTAATTTTGAATAATTTATTATTCAAAAATTCAAGTAAATTATATTAAAAATTTTATATAGATTATATATCAAATTATATTTATATATAATATATGAAAATATTAATAAATAAAATATTATATATAATAATTATAAAACTTTATTTGTAATAAATCAATAATTAGATCTAAAAAGTAATTATAATTGTATATTTTAATTTTAAATTATATTTTATTTATAGATAATCAATACAATTTTAAAATATATATAAAAATATTATATTTGAAAAAGTAGTACTTTAAATCAGTTTTCAAATAGATTAATTATTCTTTAATTAACAATCTAAAGATTTTCAATAATTCTTTTTAAATAATAAAAAAATATTTACCAAGGGCCTGCACCCCGAACCTCTAGCTTTTCGAGAAAGTCTAATGAAAATTCAAGTTTTAAAAAGTTTATAATAAATTTAAATATTAAATATATATATTAAAATGCAGATAGAATATGAATTTATTTTTAATAATTGAAAATTAAATATTATTATTTTAAATATTACTATTATTATTATAATTATTAAAATAAATTAAATAAGATGAATTAAATGAATAAAGTTGAATGATTTTAATAGAGTTGAATGATATCAATTGAGTTGAAAAAAGTTTCAAGTCAGATTTGTTTGAGATTGTGAGACTTATACCAAGCTTTTTGTTCGATTATTTACCGGGGTATTTACCGGGGTATTTTAGACCAATCACATTATTAGGATCGCGACTCATTTAAGCGAGTTTCTCATTTTGTATTATAAAAGTGATAGGTCGAGATATATATATCCCGATAGTATATTGTGAGGAGGGAATTGAAAGAGAAAACTAAATTAGATTATATTGTAATACATCATTTATAAAGAAAACAAGGTTTATAATGGTTTTGGGGTTGATATTATATAGATTCAAATATATATATATAGAAGGTTGATTATTCTCAAAAAAAAAAACCAAAAGGTTTTCTTTTATATTTAATTATAAAAGATTATATGATTGATTGATTAAAAATCTTTATATATTTAATCTATAATTTCAATTTTTTTATACTTTTCTTTTTTAAGAAATATATAATCTTTTTAGTTCATCAAAGAAAATAATTGAATAGAGTTTAGAATATAGAATATACGAAATATTATTATTAATAATTTTTAGGATAGGAATAAAAATGAATTATAAAAAAGGAGATTTGTTGAATTTGAGGATAATCTTTCAATTTTCAATAAATAGTTTGGTAGGAGTTCTTTCTTTATCAGTATTTTTGTTAGTTTTCGAATATTTGGATTTTAGTTTTGAAAATGGATCCAAAAAAAGAAAAGGTTTATCGAGTTTTGGATAGAGATGTTTAAAGATTTGGGAAAGCAAGGATAGCTTTCTGTTCGATTTCATAAATAACAAAGGCAAATCTTTTTTCTTAAATCTATCTTTCAAAGGAGTTTTTGATTATAGATTTTATTATTTCTGATTGGGAAAAACAGATAGTCTTTGAGTATTAAAGAGATCAATAATGAATTTTTTTCGTTATAAAAATATCATTCGTTTAATTTACATTTTGAGTATCGAAAAGGGCCCTTTTTGATCTAATGTAGTTTGATTTATTAGTTTCTTTTCTTTTCGAAATGGTTTTCAAGAAATTGATTGAAAAGTTTCTTCTTTTTGAATAGGAATTTCTAGATTGATAACTTTTTATTCTTTTGTTAGATTTTTATCAAAAAATTTAGATGCTTTTTGATTCTTGTTTTTGAAAATGATTTATTTTTGTTTATAAAAGAAAGATTAAATAAAAGAATATTTTTATATCAAAAAGAAATTATATTAATATATAGAATTCTTCTTCATTGAATTCTTGAAATATAAAAAGAATAGATTGATTTTGAAATGATAAACAAAGGTTTTTATAAAAAATATTATTTTTCATTTTATCATTATTATTATCTATAACAAGATAAATGATCGATATCATTATCGAACTATGATTTTTAACGATATCAGTAAATCAAAGAATTATATTGTTTTTAAAAGAAAGTAAAGGCTTATAGCAAAAGCTTCTTTTCGATATCTTATATATTATTTTGTATTTCAATATTTCGATCAATTTGTAATTATATAGAAAACAATCCTTGATTGATAATCGATATTTGTTTAAAAGAATAGAGATATTTTGAAATTTGATTTTGTTGATTTATTCATTCACAAAAATCTTTTGAATTATTATCAATAAAGAGATCGAAATATAAAATATACTTTTTCAAATAAATATTTATATAAATTCTACTAAATAAAGTATTATTTATTTCTTCGAATATATAAATGAATAATTTAAATAATTTTTCAGTAATTCTATAAGGTTTATATTATCTGAGAATTAATTTTTTGTTTTGTAATATATCGATTTTTGAATAAGAATTGTAATATAGAATGATATCTTTAATACAAATATTCTTGTTTAAAATTTTGTAATTTAAATCATATTGGAATTTTCTATTTTCTTTATAATATTGTTTATATAGAATTGCTTTATCGAATATTATTATTAAACATTTTCAATTACTATATTCTTGTAATTAATAAATCCTTTTGGATATATATATCTCCTTAATCAAGAATTCTCTAAATAATATATATAATTTTTAAAAGTAATATAATTTTATATTTGTAGATTAACTCAAATAGTATTTTGTTTGTTGGTTTATATATCGAAATACAATCAGCAAATAATATAATCTTTAATCATTCTGATTATCTGTAATCTCTTTTTGAAAGATAGAAAAGGGCTTCGATAATCAGATGATGATCTCTTTTCATTATATTATTCATTTAAGAATGATAAATTAATATTCGGATTTTATCGATATTATATTTATTGTAATAAACAAATATAATATCTTTATTCTCAAATTTATTATTTATAATGATCTTTTTAAAGAGATTATATTTGGAAAGGATTTTATATAAAAATTTGACAATAATCTTTGAAATAATATTCTATAATACTTTAGTTTTTATTTAATCATTCAAATCCTTTTGTAATATTATAATATATTTGAAATTATAATTATCTAGTATTTTTATAATATCTATATCGATTTTTTGTCAAATTCTTAAAGATTAGATGATAATCATTGATTCATTTATTTGTTTAAATAATCGAAATTGATATACAAAACAGAAAGTTATTTAGTTTTTTATATCTTTGAATATATTGTTCTATTAATAATTATTTTACAATTTATTATATAAAGATTCAAGATTTTTATAATCAAATTTTTGGTATATTTGGATTATAATAATTCGATACTTTCCAATTTCGTTTTTCTTAATTAAATATTATAAATTACAATAAGATCTTTCTTTTTTTTCAAATATTTCTTGTTTAATTTATTCCTTTATTATATCAATTATAATCAATAAAAGCATTTTAAATAAAACAAACTCAAATATTTATCAAATTTTATATAGAATTGTTTTGATGATTTATAAAAAAGCAATAAATAAATTAATTGATCCAATTTCAACTTAATCGAATATTAATATAGTTTTTCGATTCATTAAGAATACAATAAAGAATTCATTCTTTCAAACTAAAAGAATATCTTTTATATTTAATAGTTTCAGTTATTCAGATATTAAACAAAAGCTTTCAAATCAAGAATCGAAATATAATAATAAATATTTTGAGAATAATTCTGATAATAAATATATAGGGTTTTTGATACATTCATTTTTAAATCAATTTGAATTATCATCTAGAATTTTTTTATCAATATATTCAATTTGATTTAATAATTTCACTTTCTTATATTTTTTTTTATAAACTTTATTAATAGAAATATATATTATTAGATTGATAAATACTAATTTATTATAAATATTATCTTTGATTCTAAATACTTTTAAATTTATATAAATATTGCTAAAATCAAAATATTCTTAAAAGATTTCCATTTCAAAGTTGTTTATATTATTAAAGATATCTTTTGAATTAAAATCGAAACTGAATCTAAAAGTATTTTTAATCGATTCTTCAAATTTTAGATCTATGTCAAATTTTGGATAATAATTTAAAAATTCCTAAAAGTTAATTTGAATATATTTTTTGAATATTTTAGAATCTCGATAAAAATCTAGATTCTTTGAAAAATTATTAATACAATTCCTAAATATTATACCTTTTAATCTTTTCCCTAATTCATAATTCTAACTTTTTGAATATCAATTAATCATTTAGATCCTATTATTTAACAATTTATTTTATTAATATTATTATTATTAATAACCCAAATGATCTATTCATTTCCTTTATCTTCAAAATCAACCTTTTTTACAAAAAGATAAAATATATTAAATAATAATAAATCCTTAATATTATTCAATACAAATA